GATGTTATACGACCTCACGACCTACAAACTCATTTAGACCATTACTCTTAAGCTTTTGTTTCTGCCCCCTGAGGAAGTTGAGAGTTTCAAACCGAACATTGGGGACAAATAAGACATAAAAATTATCTTATTTTGTTTTTACTCAGCTTCTGTTCAGCGTGAGGATCATCCAACTTCAAGTTGCTGGGTGTGCCGACCTCCAATTTGGGCTTCCACCCGGAGACTCTTTAGAATTACTCATAGAAAAAAATGCCAACTATAAATATCCTAGTCTAGTTTTTTTATTTAACTGTGGATAATACGAAAGTGTGGTGCGTTGGAAATGATATCCTGTTTATGAGTCCTAAGGACACGACCCTTTAGAGGGAGGGGGGGGGGGACAGGGGGCACATACCGTAACGGGGCATCCCCCGGCTATAAATTGTAGCGGATTAACAGAGTTTGAATCGTTGAACAATAAAACAATGCATACAAACTCCTGACTTGATTGCTCTGTTAAATGAAACTTACGAGGTAGCGATTACATTTATAAAAGTAAAAAAAAATAAAAATAAAAAATTGAAATAAACACCTACTCAGCGGAATAATTAACATAATTTAGCTCGTCCAATCGCCTTTTTACGTTTTTTCCTGATTATGCAAAATGGCGTCAACCCGACATTTGCGAAAGATGTAATTCGTATATTCGTCGGGATACGAAGAAACAGTTTGTTTTGAAACAGTCGAGGTGGAAAGGATTAATTAATTGATTGCACTTCTATCACCTGGAGAACTTTTGATGGCAATATTTTGAAATCTGAGGTAATTGGGTGAATGTTTCATGAAATGCATGTGTTGTTCTTTGTGGATGAACACATGCGATATGCAAAATGTCCTTACAATTGTGTCTTTCACGTGGCCTTTGTAAGTTCAGTGTGGTGAGTGTTCCTCTTGCCGGCGATTGTGTGAGTATTTTTGTTGAGTAAAGTCGCTAAACAAGACCAGAAAGTGAAAGATAGGGATATTAACGCCAAACGAAATTCGTGGAACAAGAACCGGTGAGGTGTCTCTTCATAAACTTATTCTTGGTAAACGTAATCTTACGTATTGTTGATATGTATGAGCAATTGAAGCGAAGTTTATTCTCGTTTTTTCCTCTAAAAAGCGTTGATTTTATGCCAGTATGCAGAAGAGATTAACATTAAATTATATGACCAAATCTACGCTAATAGATTTTATTCTGTGTAATTACCATGAAGTACTGAACTGCAAGCTCTGACGAGACGTTGATGTTTTTACTGAATGTTATTTTCACAAAATCTCTTTAGAGAGGCCTAAAGTAGCGCATCGACTCAACAAAACAACAACGTTTCTAGACAATGTAAGAATTGTTCGTGTTTTTACTGTATGAATTATAATCCGATGGAAGATGAAGATGTTATTTGGGATAGTTTGTCGTTCCCGGTTAAATATTTGAATTTTCTTACAAACTTAAGTTTACTTGCTTTATAATTATTTAGTCTCACAGGACGAGTAAGGTTGTCTGAAAAATAGACTCATAAGCTTAATACAGATGTCAGTGTGTATCATAGAGATGACTATAATATTCTTTCAGGTGAAATATTTCCACTCCTTCAGACATACAAGTGTATTGTTATTGACACCAGCAGAGTTTCCATCAATGTTGACATGTTTTCAGACTGTTCTTTATTGTATGACAAATTGTTGTTTCATGAGCATCATCTTGTAAATGCTCATGCATCTTGATTTTGATAGCTAAGTAGAGGAGTATGCAGTCTTGCTAAGTGAATGAAAGTTACTGTTAGTTGTTCAGATCTTTGCTTGCTGTTAATAGTTTGTTGTCAACGTTATGTTTTCCAGACACCAGTCACTTTTCAAGAATCACATGTTCATTGTATTGTTTTCAGACAAAAGAATCCAATTAACCACATGCTCTTTTCAAATGAAAATTATTCCATCTCATGTGATTCAAAGGACTATCCATTTGCAATGTGACAGTTTTGAAAGCTTATTATAAGAAATATACTTTTTTGTAACTTGTAGATAAAATTTTCGCAAATTCATGTATGTTTGGAAAATGATGACTGAAAACGTATGGCTCTTCAAAACTTTCCATCAGATCTCATAGTCTAAGAGCCTTTTTGACCTTTTTCGAAGTCTTGTTTTCCTAACTCAGACTTTCAAATTTTTTACCGCAGTCCTATTATTTTTTTAGCAGAGTCTCCGATTTTACCATCCATGACATATTACATGGACCTCTCAAAGATTTTTATTTTATTATATTTACTCAGGTGTCATTATTGACATTATATGATGTTTTTTTGATGGCTGGCATACTAAATGGGAACATAATAATTTGAGATGTTATGGCTAAAATGTTAAGTCTTACTCTAACAACATATATTTTCATGCACGTTTAAAAATAAGAGGAGTTTCTCAAGTTGTTAAATGCAGTTTAAGTACATGAAGAATATCCTTTTTCAACCAGAACACTTTTGTCATTAAATTTTTTTCTTGTCAAAATTATCATTTTAAAAACACATGGATAGGTGTTAAGTACTTTTTGGGACCAATTAGAAATTTCATTTGCATCTTAAAACCTGTCATTTCATAGTCTCCTTTTCATATCTTCAGTGACTACGGTTTGGCTGATGTATAGGTTAAATAGAAGTTGAAATCAAGAAACGTAAGAAATAAAATGTGGAATTTGGTTTTGCAGTTTTTGGTTTTGTAGTGTTTGAAAAGCTAGATTATTATATTTTAAGATTTTTTTGTTATCTTTTTTTTGACATTAAGAGAAATGCTAATCTGATGCAGAAAAGGTGACAAATTCATTAATACATTGTTTTGTTTTACATGTGAGTTTTGTATAGATTAGAAAACATGACTCATCATTAATTTTATTCAAACAGCAGATGCAGTAAGACACATAAAGCTTTACTTGGGATTTTTTCCAAGGGATTGATCACTTCAAATACTGTTAATGGTCAGGTTAGATTTTTATTGAACTTAACTCATTCGACAGTACAAATTTTTAGAATGGTAACTTTAATAAATTATTGCAAGTTAACATCATGGGCATGGTAAATAATGTTTAAGGCAGTTGATAAAGGAGCAGGTTGAACACAATCATAATAATATTGGGGACATTCACAACAAATGTAGGTTAGGCTATGAGTACAAATTGGTTGCGACTATGATTTTCAGGTTTTCACATGTCTCATGTAATTACTTATCGCACTGGCAAATCGCATCCCTGATGTTTATTTATGTGCTAGCTACTAGCTAGGGAGCAACAGGAATGAGTTGCCGTTTAATGGGGGACAGAATTAATAATTTTGTCCCCATTATTACCTTGAATTTCAAAGTCAGACACATACTAACTTAATAATTTCCTACTCATAGTAAAATTCAAAGCCCTCTATTGTAGCTATATATAGTTACAGTATCAGTCATTCAATGATATGTACAATCTTGAAAAAGTCTTGTGTCGGTCTCGTTGTTAACTTGAATTTCACAGCCATGCACGTACTTAATTTCGTACTCATAGCAAAATTCAAAAGATGGCTATAATTGCAGCTTTTTTTACAGTCAGTCACTCATTTAATGATACATGTTCATCTTGAATAAAGTCGTGCTGCATTTTTGCAAATCCAAGTTGATATTCAAAACTGTATTTTTATATAATCATTCTAAAGGCATTATTGATTTTTTTTGTATTATTTAGGTACGAGAAAATAATATTTTGAAAATATGTTATTCTTTTAATTTGTTTATAAAAATCAATATGAATTGCAGTTAATTTTTTAGTATTATGTTTGAAAGCATATTCTTTCTTCTGCTATACATGCATTTGAATTTTCTATATTTTTGTTATAATAATTTCTTTATTCTTTTTTCTAATATTAATTATTAATTTCTTCTTTCTTCATTACACTAAGTTAAATTTGATGTAGGTGGTAGAGTAATGTATTCTAAGTAAGTAACCATATATATTTTAGTGATGGGTATTATGTCAAGCAATCCCTTTAACTTTATAGCTGTAAGTTTTCTGGTATATGGATTTTGTAAAAAAGTCTTACTTGTGAATATGAGAAGTGAAATAATTATTGTTGCTTATTTGTCGCAAAGCTTTTGCTCCACTTTTTTCCTTCTAATTAAAGATTTTCTATCTGTCATCACTAACTAAGAAAAATGTGGGGAAAATGAGAATGACACTTTTAATTACAGTAAGCATAAGTATGTTGTTTTACTAAGTAAATAGAAGAAAGAAGAAGCAGATTAATTTACAGGTTTACATATATGGCTTGAAAATGCACCATTTGATTTATAATCCACATCCAGCATGCAAAGAAAGTTGTGTCCAATGGCCCTGGACCAGCAGTGGAGTCTGCTATTACGTTAATGAGTTCTTTTCTTAACTTGCCCGATGGGCAAGTGATCATGAAGTTTTTAGGGAATTCAAATTATAGAAGAACAGTAATCAATCCTGCTCATCAAAAAAAATTTTTAGCCTAATTAAAATGACCCTTGGTCATGGCATTACTCGTTACGTTATTTGAAAGCAAACCTTTTTGAAGAGTGCTTAGCCCTTCATCACTTTACTTCAGTGTTTAAGGCTATAGTCACCTCTTTTCCTCTCACAGTCTGCTCTTTCTGATGTTCACACTTATCTCACAGGGTTGTCGGAAAGTTTTGAAGTGGATGGCTGAGTTGTCAAAGTAAGCAGCCAGTCCAGGGAAATTTTATTTAAAAAACGCTATCTGTAAAGAAACGCCAGGCAGAGTGGCCGGCCGTTACCAACCAAGTAGGCAGCTATTTTCACCAGCAGCTGGCTAATTTTGACAATCCTTATCTCATATTTAAATGTGCTAAATAAAGATTTCTCTAACATAAGCATTGTATTGTTTAGTAACTCAGGGGGTGTCCAACATGGGTTTGGGGACTATCCCTTTTAGTCATGTAGCCTTTTCACTGACTTTGTTCTGTATGCTTCTTCTAGGCTCCCTTTCAGGTTTGAGGGTTTGGGTTCAAGATGGCCAGGGGAAGAAGTGGAGTGGCAAAAGACAAGGACAAGGACAAGGATCGTGAGCCAGATCCTAAGTATGCACTTTGGATAATTGCGGCGATAGGCAAGGTCAAAGGGCAAAAGCAACGTCCTAGTGAGGATCGTATTTCTCACATTCTAGAGACTGTTTATGGATTGGACCAGCAGGTGGCACTGGAACAACTTGAGCTCTGCGTCAAAGCAGGGAAAGTCCTGAAAGTAGTTTTCAAGGACAAAGCCTCCTACAAGGACCCTGCTAAGGTTCCGAAGCATATGCGGGGAACTGTGGAAAAGCCTAAAGATTTCATGAAATTTATCAGGGAAGCTCTAGAGAATGTTGGGGATGAGAATGGATGCACACAACAACAAATTGCTAATTATATAACTGATCGACATGCAGAGAGTTTGGATTCGAGTAGTGATACTCAAACACGACTCAAAGAAGCCCTCAAGAAAGGACTTGCTTCTTCAACGTTTATCAAGGAGGGTCGATATTACAGGCTTGCTTCACTGCCAAAGGTATGTGCAATGATTAAGATATATCATGGTCTTTGTAGTTTCACGCATTTATTCGTAATATATACCAAAGAAAAAGTTCACTAAAAAATTCAAATTTCTTTTTGTAAAATCCTAAGACATAAATACTTATGTATTTTTGTACTATTATGTGCAAAAGATTTGCCTGTGAGGTTTCATTTAATTTAAATGGTGACAACATTGGATTTCGCTCTTCCCTTTTTTGCCGAATACCAGGTGTGGGGTTTTGTTAACCCTTGACTAAGACATATTAGGAGTGGTAAGCAAGTTTCAAAGCATTATGTTGAAAGGCAAAAATCTGCATTTTGATGGGCCACTGTGTTTGTTACTTTCTAGAGGGAAAAGACACATCTAGAGCTAGTCCATACTTCTGATAAGTTTTTCAATACTCTCCATGATACACAAGTTGCTGTTCACCAAAGTGAGCTGATATGCATATGAATACATTGAGTTATAACATTGTTACATCCAATTGCACCATAATAATTAGACAAGATAAACAATATGGAAAACGTCAAGGTTCATGCATTTCAAGATAATTAGGGCCTGAATGTGCACAATGTTTCAGCCTATAAAGAAGAAGAAAGTTGATGCAAGCACCTTCTGTGGGTTTTGTCTGGGAACAGCTGACTGTAATAAGGATGGTGAAGAGGAAGAGCTTATTTCTTGTGCTGATTGTGGAAACAGTGGTGGGTCTGACTATTATGTTTTGAAAAGACCTTTATTTGATAAAACTAAAAAGACAATCACAATAATGCAGGATGACACCTAAGAAACAAAATCAGTTGTAAAGATTTGTTAGGTGTTACTCTAGTTTACAAACATTGAGCTGTTGGAGTAGCAATCCCAAAATTTGCCTGAGAAAACGGCTGACATTTCGTGAGGCTACCACTGGTTTCTCCGCAAAGTGACGCCTGAGCAACGAGTGCAGAAATTCCGTACTGATGACGCAGTTTAAATCAATCAGAAGTGCTAACCAGATCTTGGTAGTGATTTGTCATCAGTATGGAATTCCTGCTCTACAACTGTAGTGGGCTGTTTTCTCAGGCCAACCCTAAATTTCAGTAAGGTAGATAAAGATGGTCACAAGCCAAATATAAGGTTCATATGGCCAGAGATTAACCCTGCGTTTCTGTGGCATGAAGTACCTATCGTAGGAGAATGGCTACACCCCTTTGATGGGAATGCTAGTCCATTATCTTTCATCAATCCCAGCAGCATGTTCCAGCACTATTTACATACATGTACATGTTACAGGTCAAAATTTAATTCAGGTTAAGTTTTTTAAACCTAGGTTGATTCTCAATTTCCTTTGTCTCTTAGCCCTAATTATTCATGAATTAGGGCTAGAAGACAAAGAAAATTGAGAATCAACCTAGGTAAAAAAATTTTAACCTGAATATAAGTTTGAACTGTAACATATACATGTGGCCCAGGTTCCATGAAAGTTAACATTAACCCAGAATTAACCTGCATTATAAAATTTTATGTTATGTTATTGATATTGTTATTATTTATTAATTAAGCCAAATTTTACACCAAATTTTCCAAAATTAAGATAAAAAACCTTCCGTGGTACCTTTTTTATGGCCTAAAAAACTGAACTTACATGTACATTGCTTAAGTTGTACATGTAAGTGCTGACTGTCTAGTGCAAACTGCTACATGTGTGAATAGTCATTGTTAGTTTTCTCAAAAAATAAATCTTTTTCTCGCAATCTTTTGGAGTGATGAATTTTCAAAAATGCTGGTTCATGAAACTTGAGACTTGAGACTGGATTCCCTAATTTCAAAGCTCAACTTGTTCAAGTTTTGAGATGGGAGAGTTTGAGTTTTAAGGATGAACTTGAGACTGTGATCTTACTGTATGGTACTGTATTCTTGATGTTTTACTAGAGTTTAAGTTATAACATACGGTAGTATTTTACTGTCACTTGCAGTGTGTAATCTGACTTGTTAAACACTTTTTTAAAAATATTTCCAAGGTCACCCCTCATGCCTGAAGTACTCTCCTCAGCTAACAGCTCGTATAAAGCAAGAACCCTGGCAGTGCATTGAGTGTAAAGTGTGCTCTGTCTGTCGTGATGCTGGAAATGCCGTAAGTATTATGCTCGTGAAAGTATGTGGTGCTAAATTACAATTTTCAACAATAGACTTCATCAGGGGTACCCAAATATGACTCACAAACCTCTTTCCAGATATGTCAGCAGCGTCTTAAATGGTTTTGTTCCTTTGAACAGTTACATGTATTTTACAGTAAAAAGTCATTGGGTGCCCCTGACTTCTTGTGATGTGTTCTTTTTCAGGATAACCTTTTGTTTTGTGATGCATGCGACAAAGGATTTCACATGGAATGTCTGTCACCTCCTATGACTGAAACACCTACAGGTATGTTCTTGGTACAATTAGCTATTTTCAAGTGCTTTCTCGAAGGAGGGTTCCCCTCAACAGTGTTCTCAGTGTTCTCTTTTGCTGATCAAAGGCCTTCAGTGAATCAGTTTTCTAAAATAAAACTGCTTCTTGTATCATCTTTAAGGCGAGTGTTGCTAGAATTTAAGGAACCTACTTATTAGTTTTGGGGGTTTATTAATTTTGGTGAATGTTCTGCAGGTAGCTGGGTTTGTTCAGGGTGTAAAGTCAAAACACCTGGAAGGAAAAAGAAAGGACAAGTTGAAACACCTATAACAAGCCCACCACGCAGAAAAATTCAGCCGCAGGCAGCAGCTGAAGTTCAAGGGTGAGTGGATCAGTAGTGAAACCATCATTATGCGTAGCATTCAAGGAAGTCCTCTTTAGTGATTATCTGGAGTGTTTGCTGGGGATGTTATTTTTTCTTTGTTACATGTAGCTTATAGTTAAGCTTAGTGATAATGTTTGTCCAAGTTTTTTTTTACAATTAATGCAACAGAGGATACTCCTATAAATAGTCACCATTTAGACAAAAAGAACTAATTAAAAACTAGCTAAAATGTTGCTTGCAATTTGCACAGCTTTTTTGGTGAAAAACGTAGAGCTTGATGTGCTATTATTTTTCTCCTTTTTGCGTTATTTTCGCTTCGATTCTTCCTCAATTCTTCCTTTGGCTGAGATTTTACTAGACCCCTTTCTTGTATGAAAAGTTGGATCAGCAATTTAATAGGCTTCTGTGACAACGAGCACCTACTCCTCCCCTAAGCCAACATTTTGTCCTAAGAGAGATCAAGTAAGTGCTAATGTTGACTTAAGGTAGGGGTAGGTGGTCAGCCGAACGGAGTCTTCTGTGGATAACATTGAAGAATGTGATAATTTTTTATAGAATTAAATTTGAGTCTACCAGTCAATTTTGCATGTTCTTTGTTTGAATCTATAGTCCATTTAGGAATTGCTCATTTATGGGGCATGCTTGAGAGTCTTTTCCTGCAAAACTTGCACTAAAGAGTTTCCTTTGAGTATCAAAGCTGATAAATGTGCATGGTGCATTGATTCGGATTGCACTGTTATTTCTCTGCTTTTTTGTGTATCCTAATTTTTTTTTGTACATTTCATCTCTGCCAAACAACTACTTTTGTGCCACGTCTTTTTTTATATACTGCAACAACAATGGAAAATTTAGCTTCAAGTACAATATGTTTTTTTTTTTGTCCATCAGGTCAAGTGGTATGTGCCCAACTCCGGGATGTGATGGTTCGGGGCATATCAATGGACGATTTACATCTCACAGGAGGTATGCATGCACAGACTGTCTAATGTTCCAGTAGCATCACAGTTTGTTCTTATTCAACAGTTTTGCTTGTCCTGTTGGTTTTTGTCCGGCCCTGACTGACTAACTGATGAATATCTCTGAAAGAGGTGTAATGTGGTTTTTCTCATCATTTATGCATCACTGTTATAGGTAGATGTGAAGAAAAGCCAGTTTCTGAGAGATTTTATATGGTAGTGTCTTGTCCCTTCCAAAACAATTTTGCCTTGTTGTTTTGTTCCATGCCTCTGACAACACGATGGAGCACCAGTATGCATATTGTAAACAGTTCCTAAACAAGCAATTAAGGGTTATTTATTCCATTTCTTTTTATTCTGGCATATGGCTGGTGAATCTTGTCATTTAAAGCCCAGGATGAAAAGTGGTAGCGATTCTTAAATTTTCTGTTGTGTCACAGTCTTCCAGCTTGCCCAGTTGCAAATGAAAGCAAGAAGGTGGAGGAAGATACTAAGCCCACTGACGAGACGCCTAGGAGGCGACCAGGCAGACCGCCTGCATCAGCCAAGTCTACCCCTGCAACTCCATTGTCGCCTACATCACCTAGGAAACAACAGCAACTGCCGCCAGGTTAGTTACTGGGGTAACAGCTCGTTTCGCTACTTGTTGAGTTCGCTACCTGTTCGCTGCATATTACTTTCTGTAAACCATTAAGAATATTTTCTTAATCCCACTTGAAAAAAGATCTTGTAACATGTTTCTCGTTCTTTTACGCTTGCCCCTTCGAAGGTACAAGTTTTGGATTTTGCTAATAGGCAGCGAGCCTAGTATGTAAGTAGCGAACTCGAACGTAGAAAATTTGACAGGTAGCGAAAATTAGAGTGTTACTGGTTGCAGGCTCAGTTTTCACTGTTTTGTAGAGTCTGGTCCTAACTCTTTCACTCTTTATGGTGGCCAGAAAAATTTCTGTTTTGTAAAATCCTTACAAATAAATAGTACTATCTCAAAGTTCTGCTGAAGGGGTTCCATTTGAATGGTATTACCATAGAATTTTGTTCCCACTTCCTTAAAGGTAAAAAAGCTGGTATTATAGCAGCTATCTCATTGTAAATTATTGATTGTTATACTGTACACCATCACTTTGTCACTTCTCTGAATGTTACTGAACCTGTGGTTTCGGCTTTCTTTATTTTAAATTGCTCGGTTGGTCAGATGCTTAACCACACTTGGTGCCCGGGCACGGTGCCTGAGTACTACTGTCGCTGGACACTGATGTGAACACGTCCTTTGTACTCATACCAGAATTTGGGTATGGTGCCTGTTCCAAAGTACAAGTTCTACTCCTCCCCTAAGCCAACATTTTGCCCTAGTTGAGAAGCAAGTGTCAATGTTAGCTTAGGGGAGGGGTAGGTGGGCAGTTTCCCAGAAACCTAAATTGGTCCGGCAACGTTTACACTTGATGTCCGGGCACGGTGCCTGAGTACGGCACTCGCTGGACACTAATGTGAACACACCCTTAGAAGTTGGATTCTTCTAACCACTGTAACCTCGTACCTATTTTAGGAGTCACAGAGGAAGATTTAGCACTTTTCAAACAAGCTCAAGAGAAAGCCAATGCTGCAATGAATCTGGACACTACAACTCCTCTTGTGCCGAGCACACGATCACCACCGCTGATCCAGTTTGGTCGCTATGAGATTGTCACATGGTATTCCTCACCATACCCTCAAGAATATGCTAGGTATAAATTAAAATTCCCATCTTGTGCCTTACGTAGTCATCTCTCCTTCCGTAAGGGACTCATTTTACTCTCATTTGGATGTTTAGTGAGTCTTCCACGCAGCTGTTTTTGTGTCGTCACGCAACGCTCCTTCTCTAGACGAGGAGTTCGTACGCCGTGTTCAGCCGCCCCCTCCCCGATTTTTTACTGAAGGGAGGGGGCGGCTGTACACAGGTCGTACACTCTCCCCTCGTATAGGGGAGAAAAGCGTTGCGTGATGACTCAAAAACTGCTGCCTGGTAGACTAGCATTTATCTTGCCCATTTTTTTAACAGAGGTAAGAAACAGTGATTTTTTGACTTTCCTGGTTCTGTAACCTGAAAAAAGAAAAGCGATTCTCACCGTGTTTGAGTTGTAGGAAAGGCATTTCGCTCCTAGCTTCATCCTATTTTTTTCCGTAACGTGCTTTACACAGCGTTGCTTTAAACATATTGAGCCCATGGGTCTAAAGTTACTGTAATAGCTTGAAACTTGTCGTGTTTTGCAGACTTCCAAAGCTTTACTTGTGCGAGTTTTGCTTGAAGTACATGAAGAGTTCAAGCATTTTGATGCGTCACATGGTAATCTACTGGTTTAGTAATGAATGACCTTCTAGTATGAAATTATTCATTTAGAATACCATTTCTGTCTCTGATTGACTTTAATCCTTCGCTGACCAAGGCTGGCTATCATCCCCTCAATCGTTCATCAGCTTGTCTTAAAGATATGCTGATCATGAAAGACGGAAAATACTTCACAATCAGATAATTAGCTTCATGAGGATATTGTTGTTTTAAGTCTATTCTGGTCTGAACTCATTACTTAGTGCCTTAATGGCCCATACACAAAATACTTCGTTAGAGATATGAAGAAGATATCAAACAGATCTGGTCGGGGAGCACTAATGGAATTCAACGATTTGAAGACCAGTTGTGCTTTTTAAAAAGATAGCAAATAGTGTGATGTAGCCCATTTAAGTTTTAATATTTCTGTGGATGGAATTCTCGATGTACCTGCGCCTTTGTCACTGTCGTCGCGGCAGTTGTCCCTTTCGTAAACGGTCGCTGCCAGTTTTAAGACACTTATTAAATTTTTGAGTTGTTATTGAGAGTGTTCCTATTAAAAAGAAAGAAAATCGTAACTCGGTCGAACCCGGACCTTTCGTATCCCAATCTCTCTCCCTTACCACTACACACCCACGCCGACCCGCCAAAATTCCTAAAAATTTAGGTACATAAACTTGCAAACTGTCCAGCAATAACAGGTGACCCTTCCCCTTTCCATAACTTTTACCGTAATTTTAACTTGGGCATCAACGTCGTTCTTTCTAAGACTATTAAAAAACGTATTATTTGCCTTATTGTAACTTAATATTACATCTATCATGACAAAATTCTTGGTTACCAGTGGTGCCATCGACCGTTAAAAATGGCAACGACCGTTTACGAAAGGGAAATAGGCGTCTTCGCCTTGTCTTTGCTTAATTGGCCATGAGGTTGTGCGCAAGACTGGGCCAGGGTTGTGTCGAATTGCACTATCGGAATGTTTTGTGGGACGAATTTGGACGTACTACTCTGCCTATCTTTGTTTGTAATGCCAACATTTAAGAGAAGCGACAGCATCCCCATCCCCAAGACAGTCCCTAAACAGTGCAGTTCGACCCAGCACAAAAGCATAATCGAGTGCAACCAAAAGATGGCTAATAGAGATTCGACTGTAAAATTCTGTCCATGGAACTTGTGTTTGAAACTCGGACAAGCCCAACAATGACAAGACATGACTTAATAGTCCTGTGTTCTCTTTTTCTACAGACAAAGTGTAAATGGTTTCATCCTCCAGCAAACGAAATTTACCGCAAAGACGATATCTCTGTATTTGAGGTGGATGGTGCCGTTAACAAGGTCATAGTCAACACCCTTCTGGCTTTTGTAGTTTTTTTTTTAACACAACTGTTGGACCTCACCGGTCTATAATTAGAACGTAGATTCTGACGGGTATGAACTTTACAATACTGAACGCCAAAAACGAAAGGTTTGGATTGACTTTATTGACGAGTTTTTTTCGAAATGTCTTACATTTTGAGACTGGGAAGTTTGTTAACTAGTCATTGAAAATCTTCATACCCTACCCCAAAGATTCAACGTTAAATTCAACTTGGAACTTTGTTTTTCCGACTTGCAAAAATGTTACTGTTAACCTTGCTGTAACACAATTTGGTGCACATACAACATCTTATAGGGCTGAAGCTTTAGTTACCAACGATGTATAGAAGGCAAAACACAAATAAATAAATAAATAAATAAATAAATAATAATAATAATAATAATAATAATAATAATAATAATAATAATAATAATAATAATAATAATAATAAGAGAATCGGCGAGCGAGGCGGTGGAGGGGCGGGGGCGTCTGGTCCCAGTCTTCCAATGATGACATTGACTGTTAGAAATTGTATCGGCCGTTTACAACCTGTGATCTAAGCCCTGTCATCAGTATTTCTCCCCAGAATCCAGCTGACCTTTGTGTCGTAACTATGATTTGTTGTTTTAGATCTATTGCCAGAACTTATGTCTGTTAGCCAAACTGTTTCTTGATCACAAGACTCTGTATTATGATGTGGAACCGTTCCTGTTCTATGCCTTGACGAAAAACGACAAGAAGGGCTGCCATTTAGTCGGCTACTTCTCCAAGGTGTGTCTCTTTTTTGTTTTGTATTAATTAACAAAAAAGTATTATCTTTTCAGAGGAAATATTTTCTCACTAGTGAAACTGGTAGCAGTCTAGGTAACCGTTTCCACGAACCTTTAAGGCGTGACGCCTGAAGTGTTATGTTCACATCATTGACTAGTTTGTTTTTGTCGTTGCCTTGTCGAAAATTTCTTTTTTCGTGTTAGCAAAAAGCGTCGAAAGGTCCATGCCTCACTGAATGATGATAGGAAGATTCAGCAAAGACAACGTAACGTCAATTGAGAACACAATTCAGTTAACTTTAGCGCTTTTGCGGAAAAAATAATTTGCAAACAGCCCAAGAGTGAACGAAATAATGACCACGAATCATTTTTATCCGGTGCTCAGTTTCCCGCCAACGTTTTGGCGTTCTTTACTTTGCCTTGCCATTGGTCCAATTTTATACCATGGACAGAAAGCAGTTTTCACAATACAAATTGATTCAATATTCATAAACTGATCTGCGGTTCTCAGCGCCATTACGTTAAAGAATTTATCTGTTTATTTTTTATTTGATGGTTTAACGTCGCGTTCACTTGTCCTTGCATAATTAAAATTGCAGAGAGACTTAAAATCAATAAAAAAATAAATATTTCGCTGCAACAATTTTCATTCAGGAAGACAAGTGTGTCCCTTTCCTGAATATGTTTGCTGAATTTATGTTTTAAGCTTTTGGGTCAAATTGCATTTCTTTTCCGGCTATTATAACTAAAGATTCTTTGGCGTTTTTTAGATATACTCAGTGACCCAAATGCCCCCGCATAAACTACGGGAAATACAATAATTTCTCTGGCTTACCATTCGAGATGCAGCTCCTGAAAGTTATCTAAAGCCAGTATCGCTTCATTTGCAATCCTCTTACGACGGGTGAAAACAAAACGAGATCAAATCGGATTTCCGAATGATCTCTTTATGACATTTTGGGATGATCGAATGCTGCATAAATTTTGCGCATGAACTCACCTGTCAAATTTTGACCAATTAGAGCATAAAATTGGACGTAGAGCGTGACCAACGGGGGACAAAAATCAAAACCCAGCTGTCAATTGATCAAAACATTGATGTCCAATATGTGTGCATTATCAGTTTTCCTGTGCTCCCAAAACTAAAAAAAAATCGATGAGTTGACACATATGGGATACTGGTCAGTGGCTATCCTGTTTGGACAGCTTCCATTAAAGATGTGGACTTGCCAAGACACGCCTGAGACACCCCCCTTCCTTTTGAAACCCCAAAAAATTGACCATATTCCATGGGTATGGGGCTCTGTTTCGCGCGCGGGAGCCCCGCTAATATCGCAAAGACCAAAAAATTTACACCCCAAAAATCCAGTGCCGAAAGAAAAAGCTGGGCGATAAAGGCGATGGATGAGACATCAATTTTTTAAAAAATGAATTGAAGCGTCGTTACACTGCTGCGGGACACTTTGCACACTATTGTTTAATTGTATATTAAATGGATTTACAACACAGATACAATGTAATCATCTAATGCGTTAAACTTATTAACGCAAAACAAGTTTGGTTGTACGCAGGCGCTACCACGAATCTTCAGGTTGTTTTGAATGCCCAAAAAAATGCCCACTAAAATCAATCAACCCAAAAAATACTTGCCAAATTTTCCTTCCCAAAAATATCCCGGAATCGAAAATTTCAAATCCCCAAAAAATGCTTCGATCATCTCCGTCACTGAAATCCGGAGAACACGTAAGCCCTCGAAACACCAGCTTTTCAATAACTTTACAGTCGTTAATCTACCTTCCAAACTCAACTTAATATGAAACTGAAAATCTTTTTTTTCGCTGTGCCATTGACGTTTTGCCATAGTTTGTTTGCAAACCCACGCCCTTCCTTATTGATGAGTATAAGGGTTTCCATTCAGGTTTATGTACAGGGTGAAGGACATGACGAAACGGCTGATTTTTTTTGTAACTTGTTACAACAGGAAAAGTCGTGTCAACAAAAGTACAACGTATCTTGTATCATGACCATGCCGCACTGTCAAAGACAAGGATATGGCCGGCTACTGATCGACTTCAGTAAGTTTTGGAAGAATATTCAGATTTAGCGTCTTAATGTCTGCGTTACTTTGTGAATGTTCAAAGGTAGATAAAGCGTGCACAGAACTTTGGGCTTGAAGAAGGCTCAAGCTACAGTTGTCGTATGTGGCGAACTACAAAGTTTAAATGCGACGTGTTACAAATAATTCTTGAGGCGAGTTATGAATTGGGATGACAGCAGCAAGGAAGACATCATATGATTAACGACTAAAATGCTGATTGCAACAAGTTGCATGTGTATCTGAATAGCGCTTGCAACGGGCTAAATTTGCCAGTTAGCCTTTTCACAGCCCCCTATTTTTCCTAGCCTTTGTACAGACGTCCCCTCAGGTTAATTTTTCCGTAAGTTCGCCGAGAACGAGAGCTGTAAGCCGCGATCTTGACCGAGCGACGCCCGCCCACAAGTTACATTTGAAACCAATTACAAAGTGGCTGCCAGTAACGGTGAGCGCTCAAGCTCGACCGCGATCTTTCGGAACAACAGGGGCCTGTGAACAGTCTTATGCCAGTTTAGCGCATAACAAATGTCTGGCGCGACGAGCTACAAATATTGTTTGCAAAGATATGCTGAAGTCACATTTTTCTAGTCATTCGCAAGAAACCCGCTTCCTTTATGTGCATAGATGTCCTAACCCTGTTCAATTGTATTTAATTGCTGTGCAGGTTACCTATTGTCGAGAATCGAAGGCCAGCCCGGTTCACCTGAGAAACCTTTGTCAGATCTCGGTTTAATCAGTTATCGCAGCTACTGGAAAAGCATCTTGCTCGAGTACCTACATGATCACAAAGAACGACATGTTACCATAAGGGGTAAGATACGTTTTTTGCTTTAATATAAAAATTCTCAAGTTTGAAATACCGTAAACTGCCGCTTGCAAGTCCTGGGCGTATATAATTTTCTTATCGAATCTTTAGTGGTGAAATACCCTTAAAATGTAGGATTACAAACTAAATATATAGAACCGTGCAGGTGAAAGTTCTGTCAGAGGTTTCATTTGAATGGTCACACCTTAGGATTTCAGTTTCAATTCAAAATGTTCGTGAGGTTTTCGGGTACCTGTGAAATGCAACCTAGTCCGTTGAATGAAGTGACTAAAGAAATATTTGACGTTCTACAGGCATAAGCAAAGCGACTGGGATGGATCCACACGATATCGCCGCTACACTGCAGATTCTTAACATGGTGCACAAACGTGACGGCAAGTAAGTGATTGGGATTTTTAGATTTGTTAGCGGCAGTGGGTTTAGACTATGAATAGGCTTTCTATTGGGAAGTAGGACGCAGGAGGCGATCACTGCGATCAGACAGGGAGGGGTAAGGGGGAGAAACGGGGGGAGGGGAGGAAGGGAGGCAGGCGTTCTCCCCTCTCAGCAACATGCTACCCTGGGGACCTGTTCATAGGCTACAGTTTCCTTCACTTGTCTCGACGATTATGAAAGTTGAGTTCAAACAGGATAGCAGAATATCCATTCAGTGTAGGATATGTGTAATTTAAAAAAATAAATTAAGCAAAGGACACGTTAAAACCGTTGACTGCTCTTGGTTTTACCAGGTTTGTGCTGTGTGTAAACCAACGCCTTATCAGCGCTCATATGGACAAGCTGAAAAAGAGTAACCGTACTGTGCTGGATCCCGATGCTCTTAGGTGGACGCCCCTGGTACACACCAACATGGCGCTTGTCGACAAGGAGAACGAATCAGTCAATGGGACTCATGGGGAGGGAAAAAATAGCATCAGTGACAGTCCCGAGGGGAACATGGGAAACCCCGAGGATACCGGGGTGGATATTCTTAACGGTAGTCATACTGAAAACGCCAAGGACGGGATGATTTTAAACGGAAATGCTGAGGAAGAAGATGGAAATGTGTTTGAGGACGATGACGAGGGACCGATTGTTCGCCCCAGAAAGCGCCGAAGAAGTAATACGCTTTCCGATAGCGGTTCCGAAAAACCCGAAGGGAAGCCGGAGGAGGATGGCGATGGGAAATCTTCGAAGGAGGAAGCAGATTCTGATCCAGCGGCGCAGAGCAAGTTGAATAGAGTAGTATCTGGCACAGGCACCGTTAAAAAGAGAATGAAATTAAACGACGAGGAGCCGAGAGAGGACGCGAGCGAAGATACTGCGGATAATTCGGACTCCGAAGATTCGGCGTCGTCATCGTCGGCGTCATCTTCGTCTTCGTCATCGTCCGAAGAAAGCGATAACGGCGAGCCCATGGAGAACAATGATGATGATACTGCCGAAGATACCCGAAAGGGTTCCGAAGGTGGAACGAGTGAATCTTCTTCCGAAGCGAACAACTCGCCTACCCACGTGTACGCTGGTTTTGGAAGCCAGCCAAGTGATCGAGTTCCCCTGGCTAGCTTAGCGGATGCGCAGATCGGAATGGATCCAAATTTCTCGAGATTGTCACCGAGTTTTGAGTGCAAGGAGGCTAACCCATCTGATAACTTAACTGTAGACCAAGATATGAATCCGGTTGAGGATTTCCCTGACACGGATAGCACGGCGCTCATTAAAGAACTATCCGAGGAGGTGTTCTCTATAGGAGCCACGCCTTCTTTAGGAGGGCAGCACTCTTCCGATGATGAGATTTGAGTAATGGAAAGTTCCATCATCGGTTATCGCTATTTATTTTTGTTTTGTTTTGTTTTGTTTGCATTCGGGAACACCACTTTGTTTATTGTGGTGTAAAGAAACTCAAGCCTTGGTCAGGGTGTTGAGGTCTTCTTCCTCGAAATAAAGAAGTAGCACTTTTAAATACAACTAACCTACATCTTAAAAGTTGTAACATGTAAAGAGATTTCAACGCTGACTTTTTTTTCAAAGTTTTTATCTTAGCTAACAGTATGTTCACACTAGGTGCCTAAGTACTAGTGCCTGATAAAAAGGCACAAAGTGGTGTTGTGTTCACACCTTGGTTACCCACATCTGTACATATTTGCTCCATATGGCCTCGTCAGATGCCATTTTGAAACATGAACGAAACAGGGAGTTTTGGGTAAGCAAGGCAATGGATTGCCTCGGAACTAAGCCGAACAACGTGAACGCAGAGGCACCCGGGTGTGTTCATACAGTAGCCAGCGAGTAGCTTACTCGGGCACCGTGCCCGGGCACCAAGTCTGAACGTAACCATAGTCAACGTTCACCCTGAGAACTTTTTTCTGGCTCTTGGGGTTTTCTATGAAACTTTGACGTCTGGTTTCTCCTACGACGCAAACCAGCCTGGGCCCAGTTGTTCGAAAGCCGATTAGCGCTTAACCCGGGATTAAAATTAACCCAGGTTTCTTTTTCTTGTTTTCAAAAGCATTTTCTGGGATAATTTTCTCTGTTATTTTTAGTGCTTCCAATCATCAACTTGTAGACTAAAAGAATTAAAACTGAAATGCTTTTTAAGCTTTCAAATCTGAATTCAAATCTCGCACTAACCCTGGGTTATCTTAAGCCAGCTTTGAACAACTCGGCCCTGTTTGGCAAGTCGCGTTCGTTTGCGAGCAAAGCGCCATCGCTCACGCTTTGCTAGCATGGAAACGCTTGCAATGCAGTCCAGAGACAAGGAAAAGCTCAATCAACTATTATACTCAGTAACACGAGGATTATTAGGCATTCCAACGTGAATAGTAGCTTTCTTGACTCCAGGTACCAGTTGTTTGAAGGTCGATTAGCGCTAACCCGGGGTCAAGTTTTTTTTCAAATTTTGGTCAGACTTTTATTCAAAAGGATTTTCTCAGAAGTTTTCTCTGCTTTTCTTGCAGAGCTTCCAATGATCAAATTGCAGACAAAAAGAATTAAACTGAATATAATTTGTAAGCTTCCATTTCTGAATTACAATTTCGCACACTGACCTTGCGCACGCTTATATCTTGAACTTGTTTATCTAATCACACAAGACAGTGACCAACATGAAAGCTTAGGCTTCTTTGGTCACTGTGTGCACATGTCAACAAATAATTTGTACACCTTGGTTTTCACTGCTTATTGAGTTTTTTTCTGTGGAAATCTGTCTTCTTGTATTTCTTTGTGCACAATAGAGACCTTTGGATTCCAGGACTAGAACGAGATTGAAGGAAAGCTTCATTCAGATTGTACTTTTCAGGGGCGGATCCAGGAATTTTTTTAGGAGGGGGTGCACTCGTCTGTTGCTCTACTTCAGCGCCCGGATAAAACACATAGTTTTTTTTTGCAGAATACCAGTTGTATTCTCGGGGTGGGGGGGGGGGGTGCGCACCCCCTGCACCCTCCCCCTGGATCCGCCCCTGCTTTTTATTCAACAGAAAATTATTCAACCCCTAACATTTGATAACTTGTTTCCTCCACAACGACATACTCGCGAAAACCCGTAGTAGAATGACGACGGCTATCACGTTTTCCCGCCAAAATGACGCTGGTTCACGCGCGCGTGTCACTGGACAGGTGCTTTGGTGCTCTGGTTTGTGTCGTATGTGGAAACAGCTCTTAGTGATAAAAACCAAAACTGTAAAAAGAAAAATGAATATTAATATAAATAAAAGATTCGAAACGATTACGTATTTTGCTCAGAGTTGGACTCGATTAAGATCATGACTTGTATCACGGTGCAGTATTTTCCGGATTTCATGCACGTGAAATAGATTGATAAGTGTTTAACTGTCATGACAACCTTTATGTTATCAAACACATTTCTACCTTTTTAGTTGTCTTTGTGAAACTTTTAACTTTTCACTTCTCCATGGCAAGTTTAGAGGCTATGATTGACAAGTTTAACAGATATTTGTTCACTCACGCAACCTTTTCAAGTCTTTTATTTCGATTATTGAGTTAATAAAGAACGCTTGTAATGGCTATGATTTTTGTCTTCATTGTGTTCTCAAAGCATGGAGTCATGAAGCAATCTCCTACCTAGAGTCTACTAGCTTTTCGGTCAGCGGGGCAACGCCAGCCAAAAAGCCAGAAGACTATGGCTGCGAGATTGCGTCATGAAGCAGAATCTATGGTTGTCCAGACCCAACCCTTCACAATTAACTGAGCAAATAATTATAAAACTAGAGAACTCGATCCAAGAAAGTTATTCAAAGGCAGAGTTAGGCTTCTGACAGGGTTCTTGATAAAATCTTGGAATCTGCAAAATTGTTTAATCTCCAAATAGCTATTGACTCGTCCCCAGTCCTCTCTTATCATTTGCAGGTGATCATTTAGCGGTCAGCAGTCGCTGGCAGAGTATAATGGAGAAGTATGTAACGCCGATGTCCTGGCCCCAGTTGTTTCAAAGGTGTATGGCACTATTCACCGAATATATCAGACATTTGACTATTAAGGACTACAAATTTGGTAGCTTCCAGACGTATGCGTCAGTGCCATTTTTTAATGGAAATGGTTCGGTTGAAGTGCGTCGCTCAAAACGTCACGGGTGTCTGATTCATTTTGCTAATAGAGAGGTTAAGCATGACGTTTACGTCAATTTGTACCACGTGACCAAGTTTCCTCTTTACATGTCGTTTACTGTTCATTATTTCTACACCTAAATTAGTAGTTTCACGCAATTTTTTATCCATAAGAATTGTTTTGAGCAGTTTTTATCTGCTCATTTTCTATTTTGAGAAATTCTCAACTTGAAGCTGACGTTTGCCGTATACGTGAAGCTTTTAAAAACTCGATAATATGGATTTTGAGAAATTAATTGGGAATGGCGGCGAAATTACAGCTTCGTGTCATTCTCTCGTTTTGTATTTGCTGTTATTTATACCTTCTTTTAATATTTTGAGTGGTTATTTTTGTCTCACTCAGTTTGGTGACAGTTCCCACTCTTTGAATTTTGATAAATTTCGTGACAAAGCTCCTTTAAGCTCCCCAATTTTAAATAACTGTTAGTAGAAGCCCGGCTGGCGCGTGGGTGACGTGTCGTATAAATAGTCCCATATATCCCTTCAGGCGATATATATTGACTATGTGGATCACTGAACCGGCGATCAGTCATTTGACCCCCACCTGTAGTCGTTTATGCAGTTCCTTTTCCCTGCTTGGTTCCTTAAAAAGTCCCTTTAGATGAGCTCCTATAGGTATATTGTATTGTTCAATTCGCTTAAGGCCGATATAAAACTAGTCGGCTCTTTTGATGGGCTTGGGATCGTCATTCCCCGATGAAAGCCATCGCAAGATAATTCAACTTTAAGTAGCTAGAATTATAGTTTTCGATTCATACACCTCGCAGCTGGCTGACAATTTGAAACGCATTTAGGAAGTGTTATCTTCGTGATCATGGCTTTCAGCCTCATTCTGTGGATAAAATGAATTTATCGACCCATGTTGACGCACTTTGGCACAGGTGCTTATGATAGGTGCCAAGGCTAATTGATTTTATTACGCTTTGAGACCGCTGCAATTACGTACATGACACTTCTATACTGCCGTTAAACCCCGTAAGGTAATGGATTTGACTGAACACTATATTCAAAACTGCCTATTTTATCACTCAGCTCAGTAAATATTGTTGAGTTATTAAAAATCTTGCAACGCTTATAAAAAATCGTGCACGGAAACGGATTTAAGCTATCTTCTTTTTACCATGTATGTTTATTCGTAAAGAAAAAGGATCTTTTCTTAAAAATAAGGAATATTCATGAATGATAATATCGAACTGAGAAACCAGCGGGAAAAAACAAATCCTTTTATGATATTTTAGTTCGTATAAGTATTTGCTCAAAGCTGACTGAAAACGGAACTCTTGACCAGGCAGTATGCAAATAGAAAATAACTGGGCAAAAGTCATGGCTCTCTCTCAGTCGTAAAAAAAGATTCTTTTTCTTGAGAATTGTTCCTGCAGTCGGCTTAACATTGGGATTGCTATAAAGTGTACTTTGCTATAGGAAAAATTAAAAAACCTGCTCGGACAGATGGATTTTTCAGGTAAGCTAACATTTTAAGCTTCGCAAAACTGCATTGATGTTTTAGCTGTGTGGGAAACGGTCAATTGCTTGCAATTGGTTCTATATCAGCGTTAACGCTGATACAAAAAAAGGGATTAGAGAGGGGCGTATAACAGCTGAAAACATAATTTAAAAAAAAGAAAATAAAAAGAAAAGACCAAACGTAACTGCTAATTTTGAAGCGTTTATGTTTTAAAATTAAATGTTTTAAAATTAACCAGTTGATATTACCATGATTACTTTCAAGAAAAAATTGCTTTTGAACAGTATTGGACCGGAGAGGGTAATAATTGTAGCTCCTTATTTGTTGGTTATATCAAGTTGCATTTAAAATTCTGAAGTTAATGATTTGTTCGTTTGCCCCTGTTTTTGGTTTGCGGCAAAATTTTTCCATTTTCCCGGAGGTATAGTTGGTTTGCGTGGCGCGACACTCACGCGTGTTAAACTTTACCCGTTGTATTGGCCCCAAAACATTTGATGAAATATGAAAATCAGTCCCTTTACTGACCTCTATATGTTATCACCCACACAATTACTTCTTTCTTTACGTTTTGAGTTAAAAATATCAATTATCGAAAGAAAAAGAAGGTACTATATTTAATAATATTCCTTGCGGAAAAGGTCGGCCTACGCGTGGCCGGGTATAGTGACTAATTGTTACTTTCACATGTACTTTTGACAGAGATAAAATCTAAAACTCGCCTTTTATAGCTGTAATATCAAATAAAAACGAATAATCTGTACTTTTTAAAGATTTGTCTTCATTATCGCTGCACTTTTAGTAAACAAACAGACATGCTTTCGCAGAAAAATATTTGGTTTCCAACACGCGGACGCAAAAAGCTGTGCCCGCGATATTATTTATAGCGACCAGTTATTATAGCTGCATGATTTGTTTGCTCTCCATGTAAATGGTCCGCTTCGAATGGAAGAAAAGACCAACTATTAGTTATTTTCATTCAGAAACCCGTGGTGGAAACGGGATTTGCCTACCAGCCTCGACTTTCAGTTCATGGATCGTGCAAAAAGGCTAAATTATGAGTCACATTTTTCGGGATATCGCAGGTAAAGAATCACCTTAAAACTGAAACACCGACACCGTGAGGGATACGATCATATTTTCAAATTATTTTAACGAATGTGTATTATATTCATTTTAATTCATAACAGTCAGCTGATTTGACAACAAGATATTACGTTGTTTTTATTTCTGTGGGACAGGAACGATCAAGGATGCTCAATGATTTCAGTGAACTAAATGAAAGCGGTCGAATAGGGTTTTACTATGTTGCTCTTCCATGTTTCAGATCATAATTTTAATGTTAATTGGAAACTGCTTTAGCTAAAACAAAAGTGTAAGGGACTATCATTGAAATCAATCTGATCAATCTTGTTGTAAGCTTGGTTTTCCTTTTAATTTTTCTCTCAAAATTAGTTTGAAGGGTTTAAAATGAACACAGTTCTCTTATATTATGAATTATGACGAGCGGTAGACTCGTTGTACAGCCATTGAGAAGTTAAACGACTCAAAATAGCAGTCCATGTTCAGTGTATTTTCATTAATATAAATTGATATGCAAATCTAAATGACGTCCGTGAAAGACAACTGTAGTGACTCAGTGGCGTCTTTAAATTCTGATTTTACTTTAATATAATGAGATCGACTATGAAGATACCTTGGTAAATTTATATTCTTCAGACTTCCCTGTCACATATAGCCACTCTTGACGTGCTTTATAGAGTCACAAGAATACACAGCTGGTATCGTCGATGTAAGAGCAAAGAAACTGAAAAGCTAACAGCAATAATCCTATCATTTTCACGACCAATTTCCTTGGACTAGAAAGAAAGAGCTAAAAAAGTGGCATGAAGTCAAAACTTTTTTGCCGCTAGCGCGATCGGCGAACCTCTGTGCCGTCGTCTTATTTAAATTTAGGGTTGTGATATCGATCATGGAAAATTGATTTTCCTTTGACCGAAAGACCATTATTTCCTTTTTAATGCAAATTTAATTAATATCGCTTGGACCTAGAAGCTACGCAATCAAATTGGTGACATAATTAGTTGCTGCATGGTTCTGTTTTTGTCTAAGAAAAACATTTGATTAGCGTTTGTGTCGCTAAAGTTTTTTTCTTCTGCTTTTAGCATTGCCATCTTTCGCGGTCTGAGTATGTGTTTCGCATGGGTTACTAAAGAAAATTAATATTTGCTTTGTAAGTTTACGCTGACGCGGAAAACGTCATGAAACAGCTGAGGATAGTTTAGCGGCCGTTTTCAGATTCACTTTTTATTTTGGAGCAATAATAACGTAGCCACGTATTCAGACATAGTTTGAAAGAATTGATTGGCTGTGAGAAATAAGCATTAATAATGACCATTAAATTGAACATCTAGTGCTACCATTAAACCGAAGATGTCATTGTGGTGTTCGAGTATTACAAGTGGACTCCATGGAACTTGATTCCGGTTGTCTTTCATAGCACTAACACAACAGTCAAGAGGTGAGGAACTTCGTAATTATTAGTTGGTTGATTCTCGAACTTCCATCACTCGACGGAGTAATGTTTCACATTTATATATGCAATCTTTGTGATTGTTCATGCGAATACTGCAGACACCTACGTCGTCGGATATGGCGGATCAAACAACACGTATATGTAAGTTTATTGAAGCTTCGATCGAGTTTGCTCCATAATATTTTGAAACATCGTTAAAAAAATAACTGCCTCTGAATTCCCTGATCTAGGAAAAAAATAATCGGTCATGATTTTTCAGCTTTTTGTAAATGCAAGAAACCAGAACTCAGGCTGAACAATCGTATTCGAAAAAATATGCTAAAGCGAATGAATAAAACCTCTGTCTGTATGTACGTCTGCAAAGGTAGGTAACGGTCGATGTATTTGGCTTCCATTGAAAGTCACCCCATGTTTTCCCTCTACCCCAAAAAGAACGACAGTCACACCCGTACACTTGCTAAACTCACGATAACCTTAAGAACCTTATAAGCCATGAGTATATTTACAACTCATACAAAGATGAATCAAATTGGTTCGGTCGTGTATTCTTTTATGCACAGGCAGCAGTAAATTATCCATGCACTTGGTGTCTACATTCACATCATTTGGAAATTTATAGGTTTAACTGGCCCTAAAAATGGCAGAAATCAGTTTCGTATTCAGCTTGTGTTATTAGGAATGTGACGAAAAAAAATAGCAATCAGCGCAGTAAATGTTCCGTCCGTAGTAATTATCATTTAAAGCTACTTTAACACCCCAAACAAAGCGAAGTGTATTAAAAGAAATTCTGTTTTCTTTGTACACTTAACATAAAGAATTTAACAATCGCCGAAATACGTACGCTTTTTGCAAAAATAAAAGCAGCTTTTTTCCTCGAACTTAGGAGCCGAACCATTGACAAATGGTGGTTTTCGATTTGTTTTTTTATGTGATAAATTTTAAACATTGAGCTTAGTTTCCTTACTGTTACTGTTGTCATTATTGACAAGAAGGTTTTTTCCGTCCGTTAACTCATATTCGGATAGGATGTTTATCTCATTTGCATATTTTGAAAATTTAAGAGAGCATCAACAACAATTCTGCTGTCCTTTTGCCCGCGTTACAAAGGCTGCCAGTGCGTTGTCATGACAACACAGGCAGCGCGCACAATACAGACTCGATCGTATAAACTGAATGAATTTTGAGATGCTGTAAAAAATTAGTCGCATTCTGTTTTCTACTCAGTTTTGCTTTGAAAACCATCTCGGTGATACGTGACTCTTACATCGTCAAAAAAACTTTAAATGGTGCTTGCCCGTTTGCAAATTTCACACATTAAAGTCATTAACTGAAATTGAGAGCCAATCATGTCACTTCGAGGAAAGCGGTTTAAGAAGTTGGAAAGCATCAATTCAGGGGATCGATTCAGCGTTGCTGTAAGACGAGAGGATCTTCTCGATTTCACATAAAAACTTTTACAAGCGTTGTTTTTTTAGGCGAGTGCCTTTCATTGAAGTCTTTGTTGCCCAGAGACACGTGCGCCGGTTGTTGTATTTACGTGAACTTGAAACCACCTGCAGTTTCTTATTGGTTTCCTTTCAGAGAAAATGTTTTACGATTGGTCGGTTTTCCGCAACAGCTGTCAAGATGAGCTGCACAAATGAACATTATTCTCTCCAACCAACATCAAATGCTCGTTGTGGCAAAACTTCTCTCATTTGTTTACAATGGCAGCAGCGAAGGTGCAATCTTTTCCCGTAATCTCAATCGGAAGGTAATTTTTGTTTTTTTGGCCTTTTCAAGGCCTTTTCAGATGTTGGGAAATGGGAACCGGAGCTAGCAGTGGAGGATCACAGGCAGGATCGAATCCAAATGTCAAGGAAAGCCTTTCATCGAACGAATCGGAGAATAAATCGTCAAGAAAAACGTCGACTGTTTCGAAGAAACGCTCAAACGGCTTCATTACATTAAGCTATGAGCCAACTCATACTCCTCTCGCTCGGAAGCGAGGGTACATCAAAGAGGGATTTCCAGTTCACGGTCTTATTCAAGACAAATATTTCCTGATAAAAGATCACTTTGATGGAATAGACAAACTAAAGACCTTGGACAAGTATGGGGCGCCGAATTTTCGCAAGAGTCGAGGTCCCTATCCCGTGTATGGAATGGGTCAGCCTTCCAGGGACGGTTTAGCTCATGTTATTCAAACCTTGGTCGAAAGTGGGCATAAAGTAAGTATAAGCCATTAATTTTATGATAGCTACAAACGCATCTGCAGATCTTTATCGACTTTCAGGGCAACCGAAGCGTTTAAGAAACCTTTTTATGCACTGCGATTGTTTTCAGCTCTTCTCAGTAATCTGTAAAAAGCACTGCGGGTTGATTTAGATTTCCTATTTGATTTTGCATCTCTCAATGGAGAATTAAATACCTTTATTTTCTGAAAAAAGTCGGTCGTCATCTAATCGAAAATTTACATGACGAAATTAATTTTTGTGAGGGCTCACAGGCCAAGTGAATTTACACAGATATCGGTTTCCGCCGTTTCTAGAGATAACTATTAGGTAGTCACGTCACAGCCGGATTCCGTTTCGCTGTACAACACACAGTAAACAAAATATAAGATGGATTCTCAGGAAAAAAAGAAAAGCCCTTCATTTAGGGTTGAATTTGCAATTACAGTTTTTGTAGGGTTCAGCGTAATAAAACTTTCAAAGGATTCTCAGCGGGAAGTGTATTTTTCTCAGTTTTTTTCGCCAAAATGATAACAAGGAACTTCTTGTATTTTGTCTAAATTATGTATGCTGTTAAGCATTTTATTCGCTGCGTTACAGAAACAAAATTAATTTTTCTCGTGCAATCATCGTTATAAATTGTAAATATTTTTTGTCTAATCAAACCCTAAAAATTTAATTCTTCTAGTTAAATAAATAAACTCTGAAGAATCTTCAAGAGAAGTCTGATGACAAATTAGAAATATTTATCTGTAAGGTATACTTGGCAATCGCTAAAATATTAAAATTCTGGCGGGAATACTGTTTATTGATGTCAGTCCACATAGTAACGTCAAAATTTCATAACTTGAAGAAGAATTTTAAAGGGTGGCGCCTCTCTTAAATCAGCTACAGTAGAAGGAATTAATGTTGATTGTTTTAGCACCTTAGCGTTTTCTGGGATTTCATTGTGAACAGACTGATAAAGAGAAGATAGAAAATAATAATAATGATAAAAAAGAGGAAACAAGTTTTCGATCGAGGTTACACAGCATGATTTAAATAAACAACAACGGTTTTCCCCACACTGAAGAAGGATAATACACCTGAATCGTTTGTCGATCAATGTTAAAAGGAAAAACCGTCAGGGATGCTTGAGTCTTGTAGTTAGATAGCTGATGAGGGATATTCGGTAGAGAAATATAAAAACTGTCAAATTTAACAAACACAAACGTTTCAGGTGTATGTTATAAGAAAATTAAAAAGATTAATATTCGAACCTCTTGTTGTCATAAGCGCTGAAGCATTAACCGGACTCCAAGAGCGCACTTTTGGCCTGGCAGTAAAAACTTTCTGTACTACATATGCCGTATCTACAAAACCAGAAATGATAATGTTACGCAAAAGGCGATGTTCAAATCAGACACCAAATGAATTTAATGTCATCCTACTCTCTTAAATAATGTATTTTTTTGCTGTTAGCTATGTCTGTATTTTCTTTAAAAATTGATGCTTGCCAATAGATCCCGAATAGATTCCGTTAAGATAACTGTTTCCCGAACGTCAGAGACAGTCAAAGGAATTAGAGGAAGAGCTTCAACGTTTATCACCCAACAATGAGGGCACCTAACGCTGGGATACATAAAGAACGAGAAATTTAGTTTTGTAGTTTGTTGGCAGTTACAGAAGTTTTCTGCCCGGCCGTTAACAGGGACCTTACGATCCGACAACGGCGACGTCCATGAAAACGTCGCTGAATAGACTTCGCCGAATAGACTTCGCATCCTTTTAAACTTTTTCGCGATTATCCCAATTCGCCCTGTTACTTAAAAGAAGGGAATTTTGGTTGGAGCTGAAGAGAGGCGACGGCGCCCGAGTTCAGACAAAGAATGAAGATGGTAGAATTCATCGCCTTGCCGTTCCCGTTCTCAAGTAAACTTAAAATTTGGTCATTTCACGTCGTAGTTGTGCAGAGGAAGCGAAGGAAAAAAGCGTGATGCACGTGTAGAGTTGTTGTTTTGCTCATTAAACCTAATGCTTTTTTGACGTTCTCCTTGCCGTCGCCGTCGTAGTTTCGTAAGGTCGCTAATGTCCAGCGCGCCCGCGTGCGCTTTCATGGCAACACTGAATCTCGTCAAAGTGAAAACTTTATTTCTTTTCTTAAAATCCTAACAAATAAATCTTGCTGTGCATAAGTTCCGCCAAAGAAGTTTCATTTGAATCGTAACACCATAGGATCTCGTTCAGAAGATTCTAAAGTTTGACGGCGGAATTATTACCATGTAGGCTGATTAATATATTCTGTCTTGATTGCTAAACAGACAGTGGCTATTTTGAGTACAGCTAAAGTCGTACAAGTATATAGATCCCAGATCGGCGTCTCGTTACCTTTTTTAAACTTCATGGTAACAAAAAGTAAAGAATTACGAAAGAAAAAGAAAAGCTGAAACGACGGATATAAGTGATCACTGGAATTGCCGAAAGGTTCAATTGTCATGCCAAATGTCGATTTTTTTTTCATTGTGATCTTCTGAAGAGAAGTCGTCCTCTTTAGCTTTATATATACTAAAAGAACAATATTCACTGCTTTAATTGTTGTTTAATGACCTTTTGGCGTATTTTAACGTGTTTCAACCACTTAAATAATTTGCCGCAAACATTTTAACGTTAATTCTTTTTTACACGTCAAGCTGTCATACAGACTGCAGCTTAATGACAAAGGGTTTTGAAAATGAAGCTTCATGAAAACTCGCCGTATTAAGCGAACCCGTGTAAGCTGTCACTGCCCTTCTCTAAAGCGGTCTGCACAAGTTTTGCCGAAATTATGGCGGAATTCAGTATTGTGAACCTAAGCGGGGCAACGTCTAACATTGGAATAAATCTGTCGTCAATTCATCTCTTAACGGATAGTTTTACTCGTCTATATTTTCTTCTTGATTGTGTTTAGACTGGTTGAATCTGTATTTTTAATAAACTTTCATCCTGCCACAGTCATATTAAACGATCAGTTGGCCATTACTCAAGGGTGGTCGATTAATACAGGTTGAACTGTACAAGCTGCAATATACGTTTGTAATCAAATTTTGATACCGCCTATAGAATGCATTACAGCCAGCAGCCGCAAAATACGTTGGAAACCAACGCACTTGTATAGTAAACTGTACTTAAGTTTATCCACTGATGTACATGGGGTACATAATGAAACGAAACTCTTGGAAAGTCGTATTTAATGCAGCGATGGGGTATATTCTTGATATACGCATATTTGAGGCAGATTTACAATTTCAAGAGCTGCCCAAGTAGCTGGCCAATAAGTCCGCAGTCACTTCACTCAGTTCAATATTCCGTTACACTTAAAAAAGGAAAGGAAATATTTCAAAGCGCACGTGAATTTACTTTTTGTTTACTACAAACGATACTTATCATGACTATAAAACCTTTTAACCCTTTCACTGCCAGAGTGTTTGATGGAGTTTTGTAAGGTGACTCTAACTTTTGAGTCTGTGGACGAAATCCTATGATGTGACCATTCAAATGAAAGCTCTCTGCCTGTACTTACACACGATGCTATTTGTTTCTCAAAATTTTAGAAAATGAACGCTGCAAATTTGGTCGAACTTTGCCTTTGGCCACATTTGGCAGTGAAAGGGTTAAATTCATTGGAATGGCAAAATTACAAAAGATACTGCCAAAGATTAACGTGCCTTTTTACATAATTTCGACGATGTTTTGTAGCAGTCACATTAGCGATTGCAGCTGCGGCCATTTTGATCTCCGCAAGGGGTTTAAGACCTGGGTAAACGGTGTGTTCGGCGAGTATGATTGATTGGCAATATCTCTTACTAGAAGACCTAGAACAAATTGGAATTTTCCCGAAAATTAAATCTTGAGGTCTCCTTGTGCCTTAAGGTTTAATAATAGTCACGTGACATGTCACGAGCCCAAAAATTGAAAATGAAGGAAATTGGTGGCGAATTATTTTGCTTTGTTTGGATAATGAATCAGCTTTTCTGATAGAGGCTAGACATACCTAATGTTCTACGCTTAGAATGAATGTAAGTTTAAAATTAAAGTTTTAAATAATTCAGTATTAAATTTGGGCATTTAAAATGATGTTTACCCTCATATTTTTTTTGGAAGAGCAATGGACGGTCATTCCAAACGTGATGTGTTAAAAATGTTTAATGTATAAGAAAAATGTTATTGCTCGATTTCTTTTCAATTATTTCATATTTTTAGCAAAATAGTCACGTGACATATCACGTGACTTATTGACACAATATTCATAGTCCGTCATTCTCACTGCTGACTCCTTTTTAGCTTCGCGAGATTTTTGCGATAACGTATTTCTACTTTAAAATGTTAAGGACGATGAGTTCTTTGCCTGTGCCAAATTTTGACTCAGCTCCATAATCTGTGCCGAAGATATAGCCAATAAATCATTTCCAAGGGTATACCTATTCGACACAAACCTTTCAAACTACTTGAGGAGTTATCACAGTCCGTAGTCAGTTACAGACCTCGCACTGGCTGCCCGCCAATTAGCGAGTTTAACAAGACCTTTATGAGCGATGCGCGTCTAGCGGCGGTGGATTTTTTGCATTCTTGTCCAGTGGTTTTGCCAAAGGTTTTTTGGAAAATCGTCTCTGTGAGAGATAAGACACTTAGTAATACAAATTTGGCAGCGTCGAGGTTTATTAAAGCTCCGTTATATTAGTTCAAAATGACCACCACGAAGCAAAGCCTACACCCTACAGGCTACATCTTAGAGTTTTCGCGTAATTCGAGGCGGTAACAGACTGCAGTTCAGAGAACGGGAAAAGACGAAAAGCTTACTCGAAAGTAATCTAATTTTGTGTAGTGACGAAAAATAAATAGATAAAATTTGAACGAGGTAAATAAATCAATAAATTAATATATCAGAAAAATAAAGATGGCTTTTTTTCACAGATGATGGCACATTTCGGGAGAGTTTTTAAATGACACCTTTTTAAGTATTAACTGTGCTACGCCGTTGTGATATTGGACATCTACCTGAAAGCCAGTCTAATGTGCTGATGAATTTGTTCACAGGAGATAGTGTCGTTTAACTTACGAGAGGAACCAGTGATTTTTGTGGGGCTAAATCATGATTTCGTGCCATACTCGCCACGAGACCCCAGTAGCCTGAAGGGAAACATTGCTAATCATGGAGTAAAGCCCGATGAACTTGCTGAGACAGAACTCAATATTAGAGAAGAGGTACAGTACGCTTTTATTAACTAACAGCCCCCGGACTAACGGCCCGGAAATTTTTTTTGAACATCTTGGAACGTGGCCTTCTCCTAATCCCGGTTCCTGCAAGACAAGTTATGCTTAGCATCTTCCGAGATACCCTAGAAAATCCAAGTTTTTGTATGTCTATAAAATCATTGGTTAAGAAACTGAAAAGCTTCAAGATAATAAAACACTCACTGCTTTGTTGGCATAGATCCAGATGATTTGCTTGTGCATTTGCAATGTTTCTTGTATAGAGAGTTTTCACTCACGTGGCTAGCATTTGAAAAATTTGATATATGAAGATAAATTTATGCAAATTTATTGGAACAAAATTTATTGGAACATAAAAAATTTCAAATCCCGCAGGTTTTTGTTTGGGAAACCAACTAACCTTAGAAAACAGCCGACGTTTCGAGACGCCACTACTGGTCCCCCGCCCACCTCAAAAAGCGTCTGAGAAACGATCGCAGAAATTCGATACTGATGACGCGCAACTACCCAGATCTGGGTAGTGCTTGTGCTTGGCTGAAGCAAATTTCCCACGTTGCACACCCAATCAGAAGCATTACCCAGATCTGGGTAGTGACGCGTCATCAGCATAGAATTTCTGCGCTCGTTTCTCAGACGTCATTTTGTGAGGAAACCGGTGGTGACGTCGCCAAATGTCGGCTGTTTTTTCAGGCTAAACACCAACACGTATGACCTCCTTTACATTGTTTTGTTACACCAATATGGCCGCCGTTACGTCATGTGTAAACTCCCTATATCATGGACTTGAGCATTACTGTTATTATACATCTTTAAAATTAGCTTAGAATGCGACGTCAATCAGAGTAATGTCGAGTGATCGTTTTTATTTACTGTTGCAGATAATTAAGTTTTCCATCGAGGAAGGTGGAAACTTTTATTTTTATAATAACGTGGAAACGTTTGAGGATGAACCTCACCTATATAAGGTTGCTTACGAAGAGGACCTGTGTGTACTAGATGAGATTTACAGTAGACAGATATTCCTGACTCCCTTTCTTAGGTAAGGTTATTATCTTTTCCTTAAATGCATGTATCCTTGAGATTTAAAAATAAATTTACTACTCGACGAAACAGTGTGAAACTTTTCTCGACGTTTCGACTCCCTCGTGTTGTTTTCCTTAAGATGGCAACCTTATTAGATCACATGACTGCGCTGGACACGTAACAGCAGACTGAGCACCTTGAAGCCTTATACTTGTTGATCGGAACAGAGCTCATCTCTGTTCTACCTGCTCAGGTAGTTAGAAACGAAGAGAGGCGGTTGTCGGACAGGCTAAGCTTGTGGACTGTTTACCAGGACGCTTAGCCTGAACGATCACAAGTATGATCGTATCAGTTAGTGTAATAAGGCAAAAACGGACGATGTTTTCCTTTGCGTGAAATGCTAAAGATAATCCCCCATAATTTAAGAAGGAATATGTCTTAAAAGTATGATTTTATCGCAGGTATTCTCGAATCCCAATCACTGCTACAAACGCACCTGAAGAGCAAGACTTCGATCAGTTTATCAGCGCCGTAAAAGATATTCCTCAGTTATTCGACAGAAACTCTTCAGCTCCTTTGCCCGCCATGGTGTTCAACTGTCACGTCGGTCAGGGTAGAACTACTACAGGAATGGTGATTGGCTGCTTAATCATGTGTCACAGGACTGGTTTTCCGGCAGAATCGCAGTAAGTGAAACCCAGATTTCATAGACTTACGTGGCTGTATCCTGTCTTCCGTCTTTGTATGGATTATAAGTACAGGTAATTAAGGTGGGCGTAAACTTGATCATATTGTTCTTAGGAAAGGCCTGGAGGGGGGAAGTGCTGTAGTCACAGGTTTTGCTGGAGTGGATTGTGGCATCTGTAACGGTAATGTTGCCACCCTAAGCCATTTCCATTTCCACAGGAACGATATGACCTAAGCCCATGTAGAGTATATACAATTTTACAGCACGGTTTGACTTGTTTTTGATTTCACCGTTGTTATTTTCAGCACAATTCCGCTACCAGTCGATGAAAACAAGCCAAACTTAGAAAGAGGAGAATTTCGGCTCATTCAGCAGCTTGTAAAGAACCTTCCTAATGGAAGGCAGATTAAACACGAGGTATCATATCAGCATTGCATACGTTCGTAATTACACTTATTCTTATTTCTTGTCCCATTAACAAGAGATTATGTTTTTCTTGAATCTTAACCGGTACAATAGGGGGTTAGGGGAGAATTAAGATAATCAAGGGGAGTGTCAATTCTTTTTCTTCCTCTATCTTCCCATTCTTTCATCTCCGAGAAGGGGAGGGGGTGCGGGGGGTACTCTAGATGTGTGCCGCTGCACAGGATCCTGGAAACATTGGCCTATCATCGACAGACCATGTTCAGATGCAATTTTGCCACCCTATACTAGACGAAGTGCCACATGTTACTGCCCCACCCAGACTAACTATGAACAACGGGAAGTCCAATTCATCCTTCCAGGAACAAACACCCGACTTAGCACATGTATGGTAGAGCCCCTCCCTAACCTGACCTGTGTTCCACCGCAGCTTACCACTCTTTCTTCACTGAGTTTGCATTCTCCGCAAACCCCACTAAGTTCAGCCATGTAGGCTTTTTTTTTGCTTACGTCGTGTTTTGCTGTGTTTTAAAGGTGGACTCTGTGATTGACATTTGTTCTGAAGTCATGAACCTGCGGTCTGTTAGTTACGAATGTAAAAAGAAACTGGAAGAAATAAAGGATGATTACAAGATTGAGGTACGGTTAAATGTTAAACGACATATTTGATTAAATATAATGGTTAATAGAAAAACGGCTCTTTCTCCTTGACCAAGATTATCTTTTACCTTGACTAATCAGAACAGGCGTAGATAATGTAGGCAACCAATCAGCGATATGTGGAGATGTCGCCGGTGCGAAAGGCGGGAAACGGCTTTGGTTTTACTTCAGATTGGTTGACAATTCACCAGTGGGGCGGTAATTTTTTATTTTCAGGAAGTAGAAATCAGTACAAAATCTTAGCCATCACGAATACGCATATACTTCCGTCGGGGTGATTTTCTTCATATAAATTATTTTGTGATTCTGTTATGTACTTTTCAGGGCCAGAGCGCGTGTGAATACTGGTTAAAGAGAGGATTAAGCGCCCTGGAACGTTATTTCTTTCTGATCCTATTCAATGCGTACCTACATGAACAGGTAAGAGCTAAACTCAAGTAAAGCCTGCGTGGCAGGCATTCGGACGTCATGGGTGTGAGAGAGAACGGGGCGCGCCGCCGGAGACAAGCACCTGCTTCCCAGGCCAAATCAGATACCGGTAGACAAAAAAACAGGAAATAAATGTCCTTGGCAAACATACATGTCCTGCCAGTGGGCTCGGACATCAGCATACTAAGGGCGCCGATGGCAGCCGCTATCACTCCATTTATGGATGGAAATGTAAGTTGAAGATTCGGTCCCTATTCTTTTCGAATAGTGTCCCACAGAGTTATAAATGAACAAGGTTTTTGTGAGACCCTCCGGTTTATCGTCCTTATCCGAGAAGACTTGAAATTCTAATCCAGATGTCATTACAAAGACAGCACTTTCTCCTTCCGGCCAAAACTCGCGACCTCCCGCTCAGCCCGGCGCTCTCCCAACTGTGGACGGCGGTTGGCTTGTTGAACAAAAGTCCTGTGGACGTAAACAAGCCAGCCTACGTCCTTAATCAACGGCAGATTACCAAAGGCACTTTTATGATCAATATTCAATACTTTCCCTCTCCAGTTCCCGCTCATGTTTTCACAAACGTTTCGGAAGTGGATGCAGCGGAGACCTTGGTTGTACCGAATGCTGAGTCATATCGACGTCATGGAAAGAGGAGTGACGTCAGAGTTTATGTCCAAATATCAGAATCCCACTTTCTTGGTGATTATTGTTTCTTAATCTTTGTTAAAAGCAAAACAAGTTATCTTTGCTGGCATCGAGTAATCTATCATCCTATGGACTGTATTAGTGTATTATTTCATCGATACGGACTAAACCTGTACTAATGAAGAGAATTAAAAGTGCGTACGTTATTAAGTAGCCAAAGTAGGTAGTGTATGGACAACAGAGCATGTTCTGTGAAACATTCGTTGTTTGCAATGGATGGATCAGGTGATTTCTGAAGGTGATTTCACCCCACGCTATCTAATATAGGCCATTTCCGAGTTCTCCCGGGCCTCTGTTTCAAAACGAGGTTAAGTGCTCAGTTTGATATGGAAATGGCTTTAATTTTCATTCTCATGCAAGTAAAACTCATTTTCTCAAGAAAGTTTGTGCACTTGGCCTCATTTTGAAAGTGAGGGTTTTTGGAACTCGGAAGTTGCGTATTCGTTTAAATCAGGAAATAAGCTCTCTATATAGCACTGTGAAGAATGTTATGGAAAATAATGTCACCAGCATTTAATCTCTTGCTACAGAATTATGTTTTGCTCACTAGCTAATCTAGTCATGGTTTGTTCAATAGCGGAAGTTTTCTCTCCTATTTACCATCGGTATTCATGATCAATCCTTTTGTGTCTTGAAGAGTTGTTCTTTCTTCCGCGTTTTAAACATCCTTTTTTTTCTTCGTAGGTTGCTGATGAGCAAATTAGTCTCGATGTCTTAAGTACGAGGCGGGAATTTGAGGTACAAATTACAGTCAAACCAGGTCAAGCGTTCCCGTCGCTAACAAACTAATGAATTCATTAATGGAAAAATGATTTCGTTTGTTGATTCAATAATCCATTCATAACATGAATAATCTAACGGTCAAATTGTACCTCGATTCAATAATCAAATGTTGATTTGGTTTATGAACAAAATCTACCTGTTCTTTATTCTTGTCTGTTGTGTTCAATCGTATTTGCTTCCCTTTTCCTGCCGTTTACGATTGCGTTTTTCATTGCCTTTAATCAAAATAACAGCTAGAATAGACAGACCGCAAACGCAACGAAACTGACAAAGGCCGAGGATCGAAATCCACCAATCACCGCACGTACACTGACCTCAGTTTGACCGTCGTGTTTTCTAAGAGATCAGGCCTAGGTCTGTTGCACTGATTATTGGCAGCAAACTGGCGTACATGTAACATTTTGTTTGGGTTTGAACTTCAGAACTCGCCAGCACTCGACTCTCAGAAAAAAAAGAGGAAAAAACAAAATTCTGAGGTCAACTTGTGGAAAGTGTAATTTTTCAAAAAACAGTAATCGAATCAACATTCGATTATGGAATCGAGGCTAAATATGACTATTGGATTGTTCATTTTATGAATGGATTATTGAATCAACAAACGAAATCATTTTTCCGTGAATGAATTTATTAGTTCGTTAGTGACGGGAACGCTTGACCTGGTTTGACTGTAAAGCTTAAGCGAAACTTAGCTGACTTAGAGAGTGACGTGGCCATCTCTTTAACGATCCTAAGGGTGACCAACATGAATTTTCTCCTTGGAATTCTAATGCATAATCAAGAGAAAAGGTTATAAGAATTTCTAAAAGGATCATCTGAAGAGAAAATGCTGCTCTTTGGTCTTTTATCAGACGGGAATGTACGGAGAATTTGCTTGTGGCAATTGGGGCTTAAATAAGGGATTATGATCATGAATATTTTTTTGCATTATGCACCTTACTTTAACAATTGTTTTTACCAGAGATATAAGAGGGTCGTGAAGGGGTAAAATGGGAACTGGGATTAGCCTTATTGTGGACTGGGAAAATGGGATTTACTCACTGGGACTGGGATTTAGCCACTGGGAATGGGATGAACAATTATAAAATGGGAATGGGATTTCTTTTCTTCAGCGGTCTTTGCTCCAATATTTTGAAATAGAAAAATAAAATTTCGTAGCAATAGACCTTGCACTCTTCAGTAGAGACCGTGTAATCAGTATTTTTCGCCTTCGCGCCCGCGGTCTAGCTACCAGGCTTACACGGTTGCATAATTACGTTCTGTCAGTTTTCCTGGTCAGCGGACAAGTTCTGCAAGTTTGCATATGGCGGGAAGATATTGTGAAGGGAAGATAAAAATGGCTTCCGAAAAGGTTTCTCGCAAAATGGTACTAGAAATCAAGTACGTCAATGCCAATAACGCCGTTATACACACCGAAAATTTGGTAACTGGGATTTTGGCAAAAATTAGCCTGGGAACTGGGATTTGGGCCAAATTTAGGCTGGGAACTGGGATTTGGTACCCCCCTTCACGACCCTCATATAATGTAACCAGTTCGTCTGGTGTGAGTTTTTTGAAGCCTGATTTACCACTCAACGCCTGTATTTAAACTTCTGCTATTTCGTTTAGGTTTCAAATTTTCGCAAAGTTCCTGGATTTCCGGTGTATGGCATGTGCCAACCTTCAAGACAGGTGCGACAACCTTAGAATTTTTTTGTAACGTGTGATAATTTATTCTCCTCATCAACAGTATTCTTTTTGAGTACAGTCGATTCTCCCCTAACAGACTTGCCCCTTTATAAGAAGGTCACTGTCTCTCAGTAAAACGGACACTTAGACCTAGTACCTGCCTTTATCTGCTCTCTGCTTTATGCGACTATCTACAAGACGGACATCACTAACGGAAACTTAATAGTGGCTTAATAGTGCCGCTCCCAAAAACATCAGTCTTAGAAAGAGTTCAGATCAAGACTGTAAAACACAATGTTGAAAGGTTCTGGACTCTTTTTTGACTTGAAATCAATGAAAAGTATTTTCTCTCAAAAAGTTATAACTATTTTACTGTTCGTTCCGTTTGCACAGGGTCTAAATCGTGTTGTAAGCTTTCTTCTCGGAGCAAAATGCCTTCACCCTAAGGTTGTTCTCTTTAACGTCAGAGAAGACCTCGCAGTAGACTGTGATGGGAACACGTTGAGTCCAAGAGAGGTAAGCTCGCAATAGAAATATTGAAGCTGGCTTATTAAGATTATCAAAAAAGCCGCTTATAAAGAACCTTATATAAATATTTTCTAGGGTTCTTGTACATTAGGTATCTACTAAGAATGTTGGGTTTCTTGGGTCTAACTCTTTTCAGACAAAGGCTCACTTTTTTTAAGTTACTTTCCTGATTTCCAACACATGTCTAGCCTCAAATAGATGATATAATAAGGGACAACACCCCCAATTTTAAGCCGAACAGTTATTTGATTCTTATACGTGGGTTTTTCTTTACTGTCAGTGTTGACTTCATGTTTCATCGCACTTAGGCGGGGTGGTTGAATTCGAGGTATTCCTTTTTGTACTGTTATAGCTTGCTGCAGGAATATGGAAAAATTTGAAATTGTTTAATGGAGATTTTGGCAGAATAGTAAAATTCCTTGTTCATTTATAACTTTGATAACTTGACAAATTGTGTTTTAGCCCTCGTACGGACTAAGTTCACTTGGGAGATCATGCTCAACCTACTTAAATATGAAACGACCCCTGGGTTCAAACCTTTCCCAATTTCATAATTATAGACTTTATAATTTCATTTGTTGAAATTCACATCGCGTTTTGTTTCAATTTAAGCTTTGCCACCTTTGCGATCACATGCCGTACAGAGGATTGGACACTTCTGGAATTGAGGTACATCAATGATTTTAAATACTCCTGAAAAACCTGTTTTTACAGCGCTATCGTAATTGACAATTTGTATTTTTCTAAGCACTGCTAAAAATTGTGCATTATTTTAAAATTTCAGCAAAAGGAAAATGAGTTAAGATCAGACCTACTTAAAAAAGGGAAGAAGCGTCCTATTCAGGTAGAATCTTAGTTATCTTTCTATATTTTATTCTCTCTGACAAAGGATCTAAACTGTTGTCATGGTAACGAATCTCGACCCAGCCCCCTCCAGAAGCCTCTTTGCTACTTTAATAGAGAGCTTACGCGGCCAACGACGACGGCAATGAACACGCCCCGCTGAAAAAAATGAAATTGCGTCCTTTCAAACTTTATCGCGTCTATTTTGACCCGCTCAATTTGTCAAACATGGGCGACTATTCGTGGATTGAAAACCTTAAGGACTTTATCCATGTTCAAAAAGAGGAAGGAAAATTTGTCGTCGTATGTTCAAGTTCTCCATAAAACGTCGCATATAAGGAGGTTTTTACATCGTAGTCGTGTAAAGTCGATGTTAAGGAAATGTACGAACGTGTGATTCATAAGCAGAGCAACCTCGTTCCCAAGGCTCTCCATCTTGCTTCGAGAAAGAACCCTGGTTGTGGCTGGTCACGTGGAAATGTGTGACAGCGGGGTTAGGTCCACTGGACAATGAAATACTATCTGGGGTAGGGACAAAATTTTGGTTCAAAATAGCGCTTGAGTTTCTGAGTTGCGTGCAAACTGCGTTGCTTTCAGATAGTTACGATAACATTATTTCAAAAGCAAAACAGGTTATTTGTACTTGAAAAAAGATGTGCTCGCCGTCCTGCAAACAGGATACGGAAAATCTATTTTGATCTGCACGTGCGACATCAGCTTTTTGTAAATTTGCATACTCCGCATATGCAGTTCATGAAAAGGAATAGATAATGCAAAAGTCAGGTTTACATAAACCGCACCAAGATGGTAGTTTAAAGATTGTTATGGTATTTTCCGCTTTGGTTAATTTATCGGCTGAAGCACGATATACCAAGTAAATAGCCGTCCTCGCTCCCAGGGTTCTCTCTTTTGCATTATGCAAAACTATTTTTTCGAATTTTTTCGGGTTTTGTTGACATTCGGGCCCCGACAGAGTTCCCCTCCCTTATTTTTGCAGGCTCTCAGATTTTGGGAGCCACGTGACCAGCCGCAACCGGGGTTCTTTCTCAAATCAAGAGAAAGTCCCTGGGAACGAGGTTGCGAGCAGAGTTGCGTCGTTTAATTTAGCTCATGGGACCAATTATTATTATTGTGAGACAATGGAGTCTTGAAAAATTTGCAATTTTGTCCCTGAAGCCTCAGAATCGTGTTTGATTTTTGATTAATCGAACTTTGGCTTTTCAAACTGACCAGGATAGTGCAAGCGATTACTAGTATACTGGGCCTGACCCATTCATTATAAGGAGACACTTACTTAAAAATGGACTTTGACGACTCTGAATTTTTCTTAGAAAGCGCGGGGCTATAGGAATTCAGGGTTTTAGTTTTTAACTTTAATAGTTTGTTATCCTCGTTTAGGTGTATTTGGATATCAACTCACAGCCGGAGGAGCGGGATTTCAACAGTGTTTTGACTCTGCGAGAATCAGCGGAGCTGTGCATATCAAAGCACCCACAAACAACGTACTTTAGGCTGCCGCTACCAGAAGATAAGGCACCCGAGGAAAAGGTAAAATCAATGCCCCCGGAGGGTACTCCTAGGAATTCTTGGCGGGGGTGTGCCGCCCGGTTCTCTAAATCCTTACCCTATTTCAGACCAAAAAATCACACCAGTTTTCAGACCTGGACTATAAGAAATTAATTTTGCCATCATTTCTTAGATTTGAACGATTTCGAATTCGCATATTTTTCATTCCTTCTTAGTGAAATACGTTCATACAGACATGTCGTTCTATACCCGTTTTCACACAAAAATGGCGCAAAAATCATATCCCTTGGTGCAGCACATACCCATGTGGCTTATATATTGGAGTCTTCCCCGGGAGGTAGCGCTGTGCGGGCGAAGGAATTTCTCTATCCTGTGCGGAAATAGACGTGAAGTTTCACTCTCCGTTTTCAGCCTCGCCTTAGACCTTCTGTTTCACTGTTCGCACGTACTTGACTACTCAACAAGGACTGTTTTGCAGTCTAGTGCAGAGGTAATATTAGTGACCAAGTAGATGCTCCATAATATTAAATAAGGCCAACTTACAGACACCGGTGGAGACTAACATCACTATTTTTTCAAAGTATGTTGTTGTTTATTTAGTGTCTTCTATGGTAGGGCAAACTGAAAAAATGTTTGGAGTAAAAACCAACGGATTAAAGTCACCTCCCAGGGACGCAAAACTCTGAGCTGAGACAAACTTCTTGATTTACAACTAGTCGAAACTAGGCAGCACACTTGAATGATCTTACCATTTGAGCCCTAGCCATGCCTTCCGCTCTAAGTGTGTGCCTTAATAACTGTGAGCAAAGCTTTCTCGAGCTGAAAGAAGTTCATAACTAAGCAAACATAGCCTAAAGATCGTGTTAGAAAATTTTACGCTTGCGCGGACGTCACAGAGAGCCCATAGTTATGACGCACACACATGGCAACCAAGGTTAAAAATACTTCCTCCATGACCTTAATTTTCACTTAATACAGTATACAGTCGAACCTCCTTTAAGCGACTACCTATCCGAAACACCGAAATTCTCCCAGTCAAAGACTTAGTTAAAGTTGAACCACTCGTAAACTACCGCCTCTCCTAAGCGAATGTAACCAATTTTTAGGATGACGGTTTTAGGATTGTCCGTTGTTTCTATCCTTTTCTAAGCGATTACCCGGTACAATGGTTTGATTTTGTGTTTACTGTATATAGTACGGTACTCAGAGTGTGAAAAGAAGTTTTAGAAAGCAAAAAAGGATTCACAGGTATTGTAACCTAAAAGTTGCATGAATACTTTCTCTGCAAAAAGTAGATGTGTTCGGACTTCTCCTTGTAAAAGAACTCCTGCAGTTCGACTGTCGTAAGCGATTACCTCCTGTAAGCAACCACGTACTCTGTCTAACCATTTTGGTGGTCGCTTATACTAGAGGTTCGAGTGTATTTTGTTTGCTTTTAACAGATTTTTCCCCGAACTGGACTTCCTATTTTCCTTTAGTTAGATCATTGCTACCTCTTAGAGCTAAGATATCCTGAAACCAATTCCATGAGGGATCCTATTCGAGTTATCGTCTTTCTTTCTTTCTTTCTCAAGTATCTGATCAAGACATTTACTTTGCAGGATTTTGATCGCATATTGTTGATCCTTAACAACCTGCACGAGATTTACACCGATGAAGACGGACCTGCTTTGGTGTTTAACTGCGAACAGGGCAAAGGTCGAACAACCACAGGAATGGCAATAGCGGCACTTATATACTGCAACAAAAAGGTAAATGATACCGTCTCCTTTTCAGGCACTTCGTATTTCGCATAGAGACGTGCGCGGAACGCGAGTGACTGGTGACGAAGTGCAATGGACCATGGAAATGAGAATGAAGAGAGACGTCTGGGTACGAGGCGTTTTGTTTCATGAGTCTTTTATTTCATATGGGACTCCTGGCGAATTTTATTGTCTTGTCTGTTTCCTTGTCTCAGTTTACACTGGAAATGGTGAGGAAGCGATCGTAGGTTTTATGTAAACTCAAACAGCCCGCTGTTTCAGGCGTTCAGTTAGAAGAGAGTGGTGCGACTATGAAAAGAAGATTGAAAAAAAGCGCTAGTTAAGGAGAGAAAGCGTTCCCATTCCCTGGAACAGACTAAAACTTTGAGAGCTCTAGCCTGCGAGCAAGTGGGGATAACACGATATGTCTCGCCTTATCTAATCCGCCGAACGCTAGCCTGGACGTAGGGCAATACTGGACGATTTCAAGTTCGATTTAAAGAAATGAAAATGTTAGTTTGTGTACCAGTTATTCCAGTAAGATGAATTTGTCAAAGGTTTCTCTGATCCGAGAGAGATTTGTTTGTAGTGAGAAAGTGTTCGCGTTGTAGACTGTTGTGTCTGTGAAAATTGCTTGACCTTCATATTTATTACCTTCATTTCAATCTTTTAGGGGTTTCCCGTGGGCACTAAAGTAGATGAACAAGATCCAGCTTGTGTCCCGAATGCAAAGTATACCCTGGGAGAATTTGCTGTAAGTGTTGCGTGTTAAATAATGCTTTATAGATATAAAAGGGTACCATAAAACTCTGATTTTAGGTACCTTTTGTACAGTTTCTAACCCTATTATTGTAGAAAACTGGAAACATTTAAACTGTATTTGCATACCTTAAGCGCATGGTTTTATGGAAAGGTGGGATATAAAACTAGAGAAGATTACCATACGACATGTTAGGTAGGGTAGCACATTGAAGAGTTGTCTTTAAGAAATCGAAGAGAAAAAATGGTAGTTAACTACAACAAACGTCAAACTCGTAACCTATTGGCTGTAGTTATCTCTGGTACTCTGTGATGCTCATGAAATTTTCAAAATGGGTGACCATTTATTTAGACAAAGAAGGCCAGTCTTAATAGATCGCTTCTGGTTGAACGTATGCTTTGTTTTCCTTAATATGTAGCTCACAACGTTCTTAAGGAATTTTGCCCTTTGTCTTTTTATAAAAAAAAGATTTTTATTTTTTGTTTCATTTTTTGTTTTTTCTTACGCGTGCACGTGAACAAGAAGATCTTTGAAAGAAATATTTCTATATATATAGGTAACCTTGGGTACAGTCGCCCCGGCCCCTCCCCTAAAATGAGTCGGGGAGAGAGACGATTGTGTCTCTGTTCCCCTTTTTTATTGTGAGGTCAATAGGCCATTTCGGCACGATGGAGTCACTTTTCTACGATGACCAGAATCCTATTCGTTTCTCCTTTCATTTGTAAATTTGGTTATCCCAGCCAGGTTTAAATAACAAAAGTCCGAATTTGAACAAGAAAAAAAAATGAAGGATTCTGGTCATAGTAGTAAAATGACGTCATCTTGCAAATGCTTATTCAGGCTAAAATAAAAAACAATCGAGCTCGTTCTCAGCCCGGTCTATCTACGTCCAGGCCTCTGTCCCTCCAGGGAGAAGAATAAAGCCTGGAAACGAAGTTGAATCATAGAAAAGTTCAAAAAAAGTTTAAAAGGTTAAGCTGCTGACTTCAGCAGAGGAGAAAAATGTTTTTTTTTTGCTAATATTTCTTCAGGTTATTCGTCACCTCAAACGAGTTTTGCCAAGTGGTCCTCAAAGAAAACGAGAGGTTGATTATGTTCTGGACAGAATCTCAGAAACCATGACACCGATGCATTACCATACGAGAGAAGTAATCTTCTCGACTTTTAACTTGGTGAGTGAATAAAGCTTTTCATATGACCCTTTAGTCATTGTCGGGGAGGCTCCGCTCCGAGGTCCAACCTCTTACCCTTTTTGACAGTAAAGGTACTCCCTTCGTATACCGCTTCTACTGACAAATGGTACCCCTTTCACATACCTAGTTTAAAACAATGCATCCCTTTTAACTGCTGTGCCCTTTTAATATGCGTTATGGTCAACTTTTCGCCTTCTTTTTCTGCGTAATCATTATGTAAACAGTACCGGAGCAGTACTTCCTCAACCATCCCTGATAGCGTCCCATGCCACCTGCCCACGCCGGATCTTTCTGTACCTATGTTTTTGCGATTTTTTCACCTTTTCTTCCTATTACACTGCTGAATTATAGTTGTTTTTTTGTTTTAACAGTACCGGAGCAGTTGTTGCGCAAGCCGTGAACAGTGTCTTGAGCTACGTAAAAGAAGCCTGTACTATTTGGAAAGATATTTTTACCTTATCCTGTTTAACACTTATCTTCACATGGAGAGGAGAACAAAATGGCAGCGATCTTTTAGCCAGTGGATGATGGAAGTTGCAACAGCAGCAGGTGTTTATGAAATTCTCGACAACTTTGGTTTCCACGATTTTGAAAAGACTGAGGAGCGACTACGCGCGCTGCGATGGAGATGGCGGGAAAGTTACAAAGGGAACTCGACAAATTGAAACCGTTGTGAAGGGGGAAGGGAGACGGGGAGGGGGAATAATAGACCTTATTCACGATACCCGCCATCTTTGCACGCGGTTTAGGATTAATGGGGTAAAAGCAATGTCACGTTTTATTTCCGGGGGGGAGATAAATTTTGGCATTAGGAGTAATCGCGGTTGAGTTTGTTTATTCTATCAAAACGAAACGACGATTAAAAGACTTGGAAAATGAACAGTTCGAGTTTCGGCAAGTTTTACTTCAACATTGCTTGCTCTGACGACATCTAAGGTCGCTATTGCATCCAAAAAGGTAACAGTGAATGACACTGACGGAAAAACTTAACTTAGGGTCATAGTCCCTGAGGCGTGGAGAACGCAAATTTTGTCTTTACATCTCTTCTAAAAAATTAATAGTCTAGGAAGAAAAATGAAAAGAAATCTGCAGTCCTAGATTTGACATGTTTTTCAAAAGTAAATAATGTACAATAAAGATAACATTATGGTAATTAGTACAATGTTAAAGAAAACTAAAATATTGACTTAGTCATTTAGATCCTTAAGTGGAAGATACATTATAAATATAGTGCAACTAAAAGAATTATTATAATTGTAATTGTAAAATAGCGGTATTTAATTTATTAAAGCCGATTTAAGACATTAATTAGAACTGACGACCTGGCATAGATTTTTAAATGCCTCGGTCCTGATGGAATGGAATACATGTGTATTGACGAGAAAGGAGAATATTCTAAACACTGTCGTTGTATTTCAGTTAGGGGCACAGAAGGGGTTAAATCTCTGACTTAAAATATCAGAGTAACGAATCAAAGTCAACCTCCCCTAAGAAACCACAAAATCTTCATGGTCTCTTACGGGGATTTCTAAGTCGCACCTTGTAAGGAAAACCAAAACAGTCTTGGAATCTGGATTTCAGGCCGTGGATTCCTCATTCCAGTTTTCACAAGCAAAAATCTCTTGGATTCCGGAATCCGGAATCCCTCCCTTGGGGCGATCCAGGCCACGAGAGATTCGACGATTTACTGATCAGCAAAACGTTTCTCAGGGAATGGTGGGAGATGGGGCAGCACCTGGCTAGTTATGTGCGATCCAAGAACTTCCTGTGTAAGAAAGTTAGGCGCTAGCTTTTTATTCGGATGGAAGATTTTGGTAAAGAGTTTTTTGGGATTGACGAAAGTGGTTATTATAAAAGTTCATACAGTGGGACACTTCTATTCATGGGACACCTCCATTCAGGGGACAGAAAATTTGGCCCCGGAAAAATGTTCATATAACCTTTGTATTTGTTAACTCTATTGACGGGACACCTCTATTCAGGGGAAAGGGACTCTTTTTCTGGGTCCCGAAATCCAGTTTTAACTTTCTTTCGGGGGACACCTTAGTACTCCAACAGTGTCTGACCACAAAAAGGGTTGATAAGTTTCATTGTTCTTTAGTCAAAATGGCTACAGCTTTCAAAACATGAAATATCTCACTAAAATCGATGTACTAAACTTGTGGTTTCAGGAGTTAAATAATGATTGTTTTATGTATTTATATTGTTTAGCTGCTTGAATGATTACAGCAGATTCCTATGCAGAATAAAAGAAAAATATTTTATGTTGGTTAATTATTACCAAACCCTGACCCAACCTCCATTCAAAGGGCACCTCTATTAAGGGAACACTTGCCTTGGTCCCAGAGGTGTCCCCTTCTTGGCTGGACCATTGGAGTTTTGGGGACCTAGTTATAAGTTTCAATTCGCCCCATGTAAGGTAAACGGGATTCCATAATCCGGGAAATTTTTGCTTGTGGAACCCGGAATCCGGGGAGATTTGAGTTGGGAAATCTGGAATCCGGAATCCCACTAACGACTGTAATCCAGAATCCACGTTCCACTGACAAAGAACCCAGAAAAACTGGTGCCTGGAATCCAGAATCCACAGCGTGGAATCCAAATCCAAGACTGTCTTGGATTACCTTACATGGGGTGGCACAAGCTTTAGCAGGGTGTTTAGGCCTCCAGAACTCAGTCTTCATTGATTGATCCTATGGTTGAACACTACCTTTTAACCAAGTGTCGTTGCAAGTTGCGTGACTTTTGGTGTGCCTGTTTATTTTCTGGCGAAGAACCCTGCTGCCTTTTATCAAAATATGGAATGCATGTTCTAATCGTCTTTTAAATATCAGTGACCCCGTGTTCTACATAGGTGTTATGTTTCATTGAGAACATCTTATCACGCTATTCGGTTCCTTGACATTCCATTTGGTCTGCCAAGATGGCGCGATTATTCTTGCTTAGAATCTTTTTGGGATTACTCCTCGTGTTAGTTGCCCAAACAGCAGATCATTACGAGAGAAAGAAGCGACATCCTCGGGCCACGTCTCTCACTGACAGTGAATTGAGAAATAAACTCGATTCCATCATCTCAATGGTGAGTAAGCTGAATGACAAAATCGACGAGCAAGAACAGAGAATAGCTGTGTTGAGCAGGAAAGTTAGCGACATAGAATGCAATGGAACAGCAAAAAAAGGTATGTTTTTCTCAAACATAAAGAGGATTACTGTGTCCAAAAATAGAGCCGTGTGAGAGGTATGCTTGCCCCGAACATATTAAGCTTTTTTTTAAAGTCATTCTTTTCATTTTTCTTCTGTCAAACATTTGGTTCCCCTCCAAAAAAAAAGTGGAGCTATTTTCACAGTGTTTTCAGTCCCTATCAGTTTCAATAACATCATGTTGTTTGTACGTGATATATTTATCCACAACATCGATTTACCAAATCACAGTCGTAGCTTCAAGGATCCAAAATCAAGTCACTGAGTCACGGAAGACACTCGATCAATCATTTCAGTGAGCACGTACATATATAACATAACCAATATCAATTGCGACTTATTACAATCACCACTTTAAGATTAACCTCTTAAAACTCATTAAGGAAAGCTTATTAATACCTGCGGACACTTGAGCCAATATAAATAAAAGAAACAGCTCTCGTCGTTTGCAAGGCAGCATGATTGTTCTAGACAATCTGAACTGCTGAGGGCCACCCCTGGAGGGTCACTTGGGCCCGGGTAGTCAACAAATGTTTATACGGGGAGGCTGTGCCCAGAGATCCAACCCCTTCCTTTTATATACCATTTTTCACG